GAGTGGTGTGTGTGTGTGAGGATGAGTGGTGTGGGTGGTGTGGGGGTGAGTGCTGTGTAGGGGTGAATGGTGTGGGTGTGGGGGTGACTGGTGTGGGTGAGTGGTGTGGGTTTGAGTGGTGCGGGTGTGGGGATGAGTGGTGTGGGCAGGGGCCAGGTGGACCACCTCCCTTAGGAAAACCATGCCCTGGCCTGAGGCAGCCCTTGGGTTTCCAGCTGTCTGTGGGGCAGGCAGACAGATGCAGGCCGCTCCTCCGCACCTCCCTCGCATTCTGTGGGGAGCCCACCACCCGCAGCAGCCTGTCTGCTCTGTGCCCACAGCTCCCAGGGAGTGTGAGGAGGACGAGTTCCCCTGCCAGAACGGCTACTGCATTCGGAGCCTGTGGCACTGCGATGGTGACAATGACTGTGGTGACAACAGCGATGAGCAGTGTGGTGAGTGATGCTGCCTGGACGCTGACCTGATGGCCAGTGGATGACCTGCTGGTGGAGAGGATCGCAGCAATGACCTTGAACTAGCACAGCAGAAAGAAGACAGGAGGGCAGGGCCGTCTAGACCCCTCCCAGGGACCACGAGTCTGGGGCCCAATCTTTCTAGGGCCTCCTTGTTTCCTGGAGTGTCTGCATGAAATCTGCGCAGACTGTGCACAAGGGCTGGGCCAGACCCCAGAGACAGCGAGGCTGGGTGTTAGGGCAGTTTGGTAGATGCTGACCGGGTTTCCTGCTGTCTTGGTGTCCCCCGCAGACATGCGCAAATGCTCCGACAAGGAGTTCCGCTGCAGTGATGGGAGCTGCATTGCTGAGCACTGGTACTGCGATGGTGACACGGACTGCAAAGACGGCTCTGATGAGGAGAGCTGTCGTAAGTGACCCTCCTGGGGCATGGGGTGGGAGCGGGCAGAGTGCTCCAGCCATGGCTGCAGGGCTAAGGCAAGGAGTTCAGGCACAGAGGACAGGGAGGCCTGGTCCCTAAGAAGCAGCTCCTTGTAGGTGCCGCTTGGGGAGAGCCAGGTGTCCCAGGTAGGAAAAGCGGTCTCCTGTGTGCCCACCTGACTGTGGCCATCTCAACAGAAACCTGTAGTATTTCCCTAGAAAGAGGTGCCCTACCTAAGCATCTTTTCCCTTCCTGGAGGCGGAGGGCCTCTCCTCCACCTGGGCCTGAGCGTCTGCCCCTGCTGCCCCTGCCTCCCCTCCAGCCTCTGCAGTGCCCGCGCCCCCCTGCAGCCTGGAGGAGTTCCAGTGTGCCTATGGCCGCTGCATCCTCGACATCTACCACTGTGACGGCGACGATGACTGTGGAGACTGGTCGGACGAGTCTGACTGCTGTGAGTGCCCTGGCCAGTGGCCAGCCAGCGGGAGAAGGGGAGGCCAGGCTGGGAGGAGCTCCACCCTGGAAGGGCACAGGTGCCAACTAGGGCAGGAGCTTGGGGGAGGTGCTTCTGATGCCCAGGGACAGCTCCCTGCTGGGCAAAGGGAGGTGGGGAGCCCGGGTCCCAAGGCTGAGACTTTCTGGTTTGCCGGGGGACGCTGGGTGCACAGAATGGCAAGAGACAGGAGTCTGCCGTGTCTCCCCAGCGTCCCACCAGCCCTGCCGCTCTGGGGAATTCATGTGTGACAGCGGCCTGTGCATCAATGCGGGCTGGCGTTGTGATGGTGACGCGGACTGTGATGACCAGTCTGATGAGCGCAACTGCAGTGAGTAGGGGATGCTGCTGAAGGACCGGGCTGGGGTCAGGGACAAGGGCTGTGGAGTCTTAAGAGGCCTCCCTGGGTAAAGACAGTAGACAGGGCCACTGTGTACACTGCTGCCTCCAAAGGGAAACCATATGATTTCAGACTAAAATCCCAGCCCCGTGCCTCTGATGTCATTCAGACTCACAATGACCCCACAGAACAGAGCAGAACTATCCCAGTGGTTGCTGCGGCGGTAAATCTTCATGGAAGCAGGTTGCCACATGGAACAGCTAGGAAGCTGGAAACACTGACTTTTCCGTTAGCTGCCTGGCAGGTTAACCCCTGTGCCGTCAGGGTGTGCATCTTATACATCCGTCATGGTAGTTTTCAAGGTGATGGCAGCACATTAGTGTGTGTGTGTGTGTGTGTGTGTGTGTGTGTGTGTGTGTGTGTGAGTGTATGTGTGTATTGTGGGGAAAAGCCAGTCCCATTCTCTGTGAGTTGTTCCTGACTCATGGGGATCCCATTTGTCAGAGTAAAGCTGTCCTCCCTAGAGTTGCCAGGCCTTTCTTCCGAGGTATTCCAGTGGATTCCAATCATTCATCTTTAGGTTTAGTAGCTAAGTCCTTCCTTATCGTGCATGGATCCCAGAGATTCCCAAGCCCTTTGAGGAAGTAGCACCTCTGTCTGATTCCCACAAAGACGCTGGATGGGGCGGCAGTGAGGGTGGCAACGGGGAGGCTGGCGTGGGCTCGGGCACCGTGTGAAGTCGGCTCTGGGTGTCGGGGTGGAGTTTCCTGCTAAAGTGCGGCCAGCCTTTCATTAGGCTTTCACGTCATCCAGCCACCTCCATGTGCACAGCGGAGCAGTTCCGCTGTCGGTCAGGCCGCTGCGTCCGTCTGTCCTGGCGCTGTGACGGGGAGGACGACTGTGCAGACAACAGCGATGAAGAGAACTGTGAGAACACAGGTGGGGTTTCCCAGGGTTCCTGGGCCTCTAGGTGCGGGGCCGGGATGCTGTTTATCTAGTTGGGCTGAGCTGGTGCTTTTCTCAGATCTTGGGCCTGAGCTGAGCTTTTCCTGCCCTTCTCAAGGTCAAAGTCAGGTGCCTCTATTGCCCTGCGGCCTTCGGGCCTGGAGCACAGTGGTGATGAGTGTTACATGCTGCTCATCTTCTGCCAGTGCCTGTCACTCTAGCTTAGTGAGCAGGAGTCACTCTGTGTAGCTCACAGCTCCTCCAGACACACCCAGAGCCGGGCACATCCGGGCACTTCCTCATTCCGTCCCACATCCCTCAGTGACCCCCTTTGTGGTGTCCTGGGGAGAAAACAAATGCAGACATCCAGCCAGCCCTGTCTGAGCTGCTTCCTGCCTTGGACCCCAACCCTCCCACCTTGACTTTCATCTGTCTCCAGCTCGCCCTAGAAAATGACAGGCTCCCATCCTTTTGTTGACCCAAGCCCTGCCTGCAACTGGCCCTCCCTTCGTTTCTAGGAAGCCCCCAGTGCGCCTCAGACCAGTTCCTGTGCTGGAACGGGCGCTGCATTGGGCAGAGGAAGCTGTGCAATGGCGTCAATGACTGTGGTGACAACAGCGATGAAAGCCCGCAGCAGAACTGCCGTGAGTGTCCTCGGTGGGCGGGCCAGGGCCGTGGTTTGTGGCTGAGCCCCACCCAGGGAGCTCAAAGGCAATCCTCCCCAGGGACTCTGGCTGCTCTGGGAGCCGCGCTTCGTGGTCCAGGTGGAATGCCAAGTTGGCGGTCTGGAGGAGGATTCTGGGCTCAACTCCCATCTCTGGCTTGCTTGGCACAGGGCCCCGGACGGGTGAGGAGAACTGCAATGTTAACAACGGTGGCTGCACCCAGAAGTGCCAGATGGTGCGGGGGGCAGTGCAGTGTACCTGCCACACAGGCTACCGGCTCATGGAGGACGGGCACACTTGCCATGGTGAGCTGGAGCCTTGCTTGGGACAGGGCTGGGATGCAGGACAGGAGCGGCAGACAGGCAGCCATTGGGCAGATGTGGCCTCATTTACGATCACAGTCACCCTACGAGGTGAGGGTGGTCCTTCCCATATCACAGATGGCAAACATGAAGCTCAGAGAGGTTAAGTAACTCACAGACTGTCACACAGCTGTTGAATAGCAGAGCCGAGAGTCTGCAAGGCCCAAAGCCCTTTGCCATTTGTTGTACAGCCTTCCTGCTAGGCCTGGGAAGTAGATGGGGAGCCAAGCAGCCAGTCAGGGAGTTGGGGGGTGGAGGGTGGCGGAAGGGATCTCTGACACGGCCCTGCCTTCCTAGACGTGAACGAATGTGCTGAGGAAGGCTATTGCAGCCAAGGCTGCACCAACAGCGAGGGCGCTTTCCTGTGCTGGTGTGAAGCGGGCTACGAACTGCGGCCTGACCGGCGCAGCTGCAAGGCCCTGGGTAAGGGGTGTGGGCATTGATGGGGCCAGGAGGGCTGAGGGCTGACCAGGTAGGTACTCCTATGCTCAGGAGTTTGTAAAATCCAAACCCACCTATGTTGAACTAATTCTGACTCATGGCGACCCTCCATTGGGTTTCTAAGACTATAAATCTTTATAGAAGGAAACAGCCCCTTCTGTCTCCCAAGGAGCACCCAATGGCTTCAAACCACCCACCTTTCTGCTAGCAGTCAGAGCACCACCAAGAGCTATTTCTATCTCAGGCAAATGGAGTTGCAGGCTGCACTCTGGCACCCTAGAAAGACCCGAGGATGGAGGGGGATGTATCATCCAGGGTCTCCTTCGCCTCTAAGCCTGAGACTAAGTGCTTGGGGTACACCCTAGAGCCCCCAGGAGCTGCGGGTGCAGGCTGATGGGCACCAGGAGCAGCTCTGGAACCCAGTGGAGCCCCATTTCTGTGCTGTGTCCCAGGGCCAGAGCCTGTGCTACTGTTCGCCAATCGCATCGACATCCGGCAGGTGCTGCCGCACCGCTCCGAGTACACGCTTCTGCTCAACAACCTGGAGAACGCCATCGCCCTTGACTTCCATCACCGGCGCGAGCTGGTCTTCTGGTCAGACGTCACCCTGGACCGGATCCTCCGGGCCAACCTCAATGGCAGCAACGTGGAGGAGGTGGTGTCTACTGGACTGGAGAGCCCAGGTAGGGAACGAGGACCCACAGGGAGTGCAGAAGCCACAGTGGAGGGAGCAGCCCTTGGGGCTTGCAGACCCGGAGCAGCATGAGATTTCTCCTTCTGGTGGAACCTTGGATGCAGTGCCAGTGCGTCTGGTGGAACCTTGGATGCAGTGCCAGTGCGACAAGCATCCATTAGCATATGCTAATTTCATAGGTTCGGCCTTGTAATGTTTGCTGTTTGTTGAGCTTAATCCACGTGATTGAGGAGACTCTTCTAGTGAATGTGATCATTTGAAATCCGGAATGTATGGTTGACAGATACTGTTGTCTATCAGCCAGTTTATTTCTGGATTTTGTTTTGATTGCTAAGCGTCACAAATATGCTGAGTGCCACAGATGCTGTTGCTAGTTTTCCAGTTGAGCCCGACTTTTGGCAACCCGTAACGTAACATCAGGACAGCATATGCAGAGCAGCACCGCTCCAGTGGGCTTCTAGGCTGTGCGGGCTCTTAGAAGCACATGGCCAGGCCTGTATTTCACAGTGCCGCTAAGCAGGCTCGAACTACCAATCTTTGGCTATAAGAGTCAAGCCCTTGGCCATGTGGGATACCAAAGTAATTTTTTTTAATTGCATGGAAGGAGGTACCTGGGACACTTAGAACTGAAAATAGCCACAGATTTCAAAACCAAAGCTGCCCCCTTCCCACTACCAGTTCACTTTCTAATCTTAAGCTTTTCTACAAGGAGATGAAGTGAACTAAATATGGAACTTGTTGCCATCAAGTCAGAACCAACTCCTTGCTGACTCTTCAGCTGATTTCTGAGGCTGTAGATCACGTGGTAGGAGACTGTCCACCTTTTCCCTGCTGAAGGGAGATAGAAACACCAGAGGGACAGAGCCTGTGGGCGACCGGTGCGGCTCCCTCTGGGTTACACCCCTGGAGCTACACCAAGTGGGTTACAACTTGGTAGAGAGCAGCTCTGAGCCTGCAGTTGGTGGGACTTCTGAGGTCCCTGTGCAGGTTTGACAAGCCTTGACACAGGGCAGCAGATTCTGGAAGCAGGAACATGGTTGCTATGAGGAAGGAGCTGTGTGATCTTGGACAGTTAATTGACCTCTGAAACTGAGGCATGCCTCAGTTTCCTCATCTTTGTAGGGAGCAGCCTACATTACTTAGAGCCTTGATGGAGGATTAAGTAAGTTAGTGCATGTAAGATGGTTAGACCAGTGCCTAACTGTTGTTGTTAAGTGCTGTTGAGTCAAGTGCGACTCATAGTGACCCTGTGAACAAAAGATGTGAACCCTGTTCTATAATTTCTCTAATGTTCATAGAGTTTCCAAGGGCCTGTTTTGGTGTGGTTTTTTTTTTGTTTGTTTTTTTGTTTTAATTAATTTCAATGAACATTTACAGAGATTTTGGAATTCCATTCATTCATTGATGCTCTTTTCTTCCCACCCACTCACCCTCACCCCCACCCCCAGTTCACTCCTCTCCTTTAAAAGCAAAAGAAAAACTCCTTCATTTGGTCACAATCCCCCCCTCAACCCACACATCCCCACTCCCACCGCAAGTATACTCCACTCTGCAACCCCCATTCCAGGCTCTTATGAGAATCATAATGCCCTAAAATATATTAATTTTAAACTGTTCTCTACCTCATCAGCTTCAATGAAGTAAACATAATTTATCCAGTTTTTCTCAGTCTTACCCCCACCCCAATGTCAGCCTCATTCTACAACAGTAGACCTGTTTTTTTAAGGAGTTGATGCCACTCCTGCTTCCAAGCCTGCCTTAATCTGGGAGCTCTACCAAACCCTGTCCACCATGGGTAATCATTATGGTATCTGACACACGAGTGCTACAACGTTCAGCCTCACAGCAACCCCAAGTTATCCAGTACAGCAAACTGACAGACAAGTGCTATACCACTTAGAATAATGTTTTTCCCAAACACAGTTAACAGCTGACTTTTAAATACAAAGTCCCACCCACCAGGTCCTGAGTGACTTAAACAAGAGGCTTCCAGCCCATACATGACTGTTGACTAAACCCAGGCAACCAATCAGTTTATGTATGATTGTTAACAAAACAAAAAACAACCCAATATTTACACCCAACTTTCAACTAAATCAAGAAAACTTACCCTCCAAAATCCAACTGCTTCACAAATGAACCTTTAAACGAGACTTAGTCAGGGCCCAACAGACTTTAAAATGCAAAGGCCTGCCCACCAGGTCCTGAGCTAAGAAAGTGTTTTCTCTCAAAGTTTGTTCTTACTGCACGGGTGGGGGCGTTTGGGGGGGACCGCAATCCCTGACCACGCAACCACTTCTTCTTTCCACTAGGGGGCCTCGCTGTGGACTGGGTCCATGACAAGCTCTACTGGACCGACTCAGGGACCTCCAGAATTGAGGTGGCCAACCTGGATGGGGCCCATCGGAAGGTACTGCTTTGGCAGAACCTTGAGAAGCCCCGGGCCATCGCCTTGCACCCCATGGAGGGGTGAGTGGCACCCCAGACTCCCATGTCCCTCCCATAGTCTCATGGGATTAGATCAGTGCCAGGGCTCTGAGTCCTGGCTCTCGAGTAACTAACAGGCTGTGTGGCCATGGGATGGTTAGTTAACCCCTCTATGCCTCCACTTAATTTATTGCTAAACTGATGATAAAAAATCATACCTCCCTGAGAGTTGTGTGAAGATGAAAAGAGATGATGCATCTTAAATGGTACATAATAGCACATTAGATAAATTACAGGTGTTTAGTGTTTTTATTATTAGCTCACCAGGTTGAGCTAATTAATAAAAATTAATAGTAATTTTATTATTAAAGGAAAAGGCCCTTGAAATGGAAATCTTTAACTTCTGGCTTTTAAAAATTCAATGCAGCCAATTGGGGCAGGTGGGTGGTGTGTGGTGGAAGCAAACTCGTTGCCCTCAAGATGGTTCTGACTCAGAGCTCTCCTCTCATCACTGTTAAGTTGAAGCTGATTCATAGCTGACCCTCCATTGGTCTTCTGAAGCTGTCAATCACATGGGAGGAACCTGCCCCTCATTCTCCTTTGGAGCTGCTGGTGGAGTCAGTGACACTGTACTGAAGGCAGGAGGGCTCTTTGCAAAGATCCTACAGTTGTGGGGCAACTTTAGACCCACCGTGTATACGTGTGTGAGGAGAGAGAGACAGGAGTAGAGATTTGACAAAGGAGAAAATCTCGATTCTAACATTATGTTTTATTTTGTCCATTCCACGAGGGGAGGGATTTTTGTTTGTCTGCTGCTGTGTCCCGTGGGAGAAGTGGCCATTCAGTCGCCTCTGACTCATGGTAACCCACGGGCGTCAGGAGAACTGTACTCCCTGGCATTTTCAGGGATTCTTCTTTCAGAAGTAGATTTCCAGATTTTTCTTCTGAGGTGTCCCTTGGTGGTCTCAAACCTTCAACCTTTCAGTTAGCATAGCACGTTAACTATTTGGATCACCCACATACTCTTTCCATAGGAGATACTTTCTAAAGAGAGAAAAAAAATGTTAAATGAATACAAATCCAGCCTACAGACCCTTAAAGTAAAACTTTTTTTTTTTTTAAAAAAAGCCCTCTTTGGATTACACTTAAAGCCCTGGTGGTGCAGTAGTTAATGCATCTAGCTGCTAGCTAAAAAGTTCATGGTTCGAACCCACCAGCCACTCTGGAACAACGATATTTGCATAAAGGTGCACAATTTTGGAAACACACTGGGTAATTCGACTCTATTTTAAAGAGTCACTTTAAGGAGTCAGAGTCAACTCATAGTGGTTGGGAGGACAAAGCAGAATCCATCTCCTATGAGTTGGAATCCTTTGGGCTATACAGATTAAGGACCAGATTACTAACCCAGTTGTCTGTCCTCAACTACCAGCCTGTTTCCTTTCTTTGCTCTCTAGCACCATCTACTGGACAGACTGGGGCAACACACCCCGCATAGAGGCCTCTAGTATGGATGGCTCCGGGCGCCGCATCATTGCAGATACTCATCTCTTCTGGCCCAACGGCCTTACTATCGACTATGCTGGACACCGTATGTACTGGGTGGATGCTAAGCACCACGTCATTGAGAGAGCCAACCTGGACGGGAGTCACCGCAAGGCTGTCATTAGCCAGGGTGAGGCATTTCTTCTGCTCGTCTTCCCTTTTCGTCTGCTTTGACTCCTTCCTGTCCCAGGAGCCTTGTCAGAAAGTGGTTTGAATGTAGCTACCAGACCTGAGCCCAGGGCTGAGGTGAGCCATGCCTGGCTGAGGTCTTTCTGGACTTTCCTAGGTCTCCCGCATCCCTTCGCCATCACAGTGTTTGAAGACAGCCTGTACTGGACAGACTGGCATACCAAGAGCATCAATAGTGCCAACAAATTTACCGGCAAGAACCAAGAAATCATTCGCAACAAACTCCACTTCCCCATGGATATCCACACCTTGCACCCCCAGCGCCAGCCTCCAGGTAAACACTGCCCACTGGGTGAGCCAGAGTAGCCCCATAAATGATGTGGCCTCTTGGCCCTTGAGAACTTGCCCTGCACCTGTCAGTTGCTGCTGGTGAGAAATGTCACTTTTGACATGGACTGGCACCCCCCTCTGCTGGACATGTACAGTATTACAACATCAATACGTGAAAAAAAAAACAAAAAACAACATCAATACGTGAATGAAAGATTTGATTCTTTTGGCTTCACTGTTGTACAGGTGCCATTGAGTCAATTCCAACCCCTAGTGACCCCATATACAACAGAACAAAACACTGCCCAGTCGTGCGCCAGCCTCACTAGAGTGATCAAATCAGAGCTTACTTATTGTTACAGCCCTGGTGTCAATCTATCCTTTTGTGGATCTCCTCCATGGACTCTTTTTCACTGACATCTACCCAGCATCATGGCCTTCTCTAGGGACTAGTCCCTCCTAGGAGCATGTCCAAAGTATATGAGATGAAGTTTCAACATCCTTGCTTCTAAAGAGCATTTGGGGCATGCTCTGGTGGCCTAGTGGCAAGAAGCTGCACTGCAATCTCAGAGGTGTGTGGTTCAAATCCACCAGATGCTCTGCTGGAAAAGGAGGAACAATCTCCTCCTGTACTGGTCAGATCTGATTTGATGGTACATACACAAAAATAATAAAATAAAGAGCATTTGGACAGTACTTTTGAAGGCACATTTGTGCACTCTTCTGGAAGTTCATAGTATATTCTGTTTTCTTCGGTAGCACCGTAATTCAGAGGCATCCATTTTCATTGTTAATTCATTGTCCAGCTTTCATATGTATCTGAAGAGACTGAAAATATCATTATCTGGATCAGTTTTACTTTGTTGCTCACAGAGTCAGAACCGACCTGTAGCTGACCCTCCAGTGGGTTTTCACAGGCGGTTAATCACACAGGAGGAGATTGCCCACCCTTCTCCCATGGAATGGCTGGTGGATTCAAACTGCCTGCCTTTAGATTGGCTGCATAATGCCTTACCCACTAAGCCACCAGAGCTCTCCACATGTACCTCAGTCCTCACTTTTAGAAATCTCCTACAGTAGATTTGCCCAGTGTTCTATGTTGTTTAATTTCTAGACTGCTACTCCCATTGGCATTGCTTGTGGACCCAGTAAAATTAAATCCTTGGCAACTTCAGCCTTTTCTCTGTTTCCCTTGCTGTTGCTTGTTGGACCAGTTGTGAAGATTCCTGTCTTCTTTATGTCAAGGTGGAATCTATGTTAAAGACTGTATAGTCTTTGATCTTTGTTAATAAGAGCTTTAGATTCTCTTCATTTTTTTCAGCTTCATTGTTCCCAGCTAAGCCATCCAAACATTCACAGGGCACCTCCTGTGTGTAAGGCACTCACTGTACAAAAAAATATCAAGACTGTGGTTCCTGCCTTCAGGGAACTTGAAATGAAAACCTTTCCCACCTGGTCAATTCCAGCTCCCAGCAAATCCTGAGGATGGAGTAAATCTATCTCATAGGGTTCCCAAGGTCGTAATTCCTTTTTTTCCACTCTTTCTCTCTGCCCTTCTTTTTTTTTTAAATATATATTAATTTTAATGAAAGTTTACAGAAACTTGGGGTTTCCATTCATTCATTGTTGCACTTTTCTCCCTTCCCACCCCCCATTTCCCTCTTCTCTTTGAAAAGTAGAAGGAAAATTCTTTCAGTTATACAATCCCTCCAGCCAAGTCCGCTCCACTGAGAAGCCTTCATTCGGGACTCCTGTCATGACAATAATACCTAATCGTATATCCCTTTTAAACAGTTCTCTCCCTCATCTGTTCCAATGCCGTGTATGTTATTGATCCCTTCTTTCTCAGTCTTCCCTCAACCCCAGTGTCAGTCCCGTTTTCAAGGTTGTAATTCTTACGGAAGCAACTTGCCACGTCTTTCTCCCCCAGAACAGCTGGTGGTTTCAGACCACCGACCTTTCCGTTAGCACCCTGTGTCACCATTGCTCTTTTTTCCGGGAGCTTATACCTTAGCTAGGGAGCTCTGGTGGCCTGGTGGTAAGAAGCTGTGCTGTATTCCCAAAGACACGTCATTTGAACCACCAGCTGCTCCACAGGAGAGGCACTCTACCTCTGAAAACCTGCTGGAGGATTAGCGGTGTGTCAGTTCTGACTCGCTGGCCCACAACACCCACGACATGCCCTAGCTAAACCCCTCACCCTCAGGCTTAGGCCCAACTTTGTAAGACTTTGGTCTTACTTGGTCCTTCTGCTCTGGGCTTTCTGAGCAGGGAAAAACCGCTGTGGGGACAACAATGGAGGCTGCACCCACCTGTGCCTGCCCAGTGGCCAGAACTACACCTGTGCCTGCCCCACCGGCTTCCGCAAAATCAGCAGCCACGCCTGTGCCCAGAGTAAGTGGGCACCAGCCTCGAGGGAGGGGCCTTGTGTGGGAGGGCGGAAGGAAGGCATTTTCGGGTTTGCTTGGGGTGAAGACACCCCAGGCTGCTCAGGTTACCCCCAGAGCATAAGAATTGAAGAGTTTGGGGTCTCCTTTATCAAAGCGGAGGACTAAGCTGAGCGTTGGTCACCAAAAGCTCAGCATCATGACTCAGTTGAGTACGTGTGTCTTCAGTCAGCTTGTGTTTCCTTTCACTTGCTTTGTCTGTAGAGGGTACTGGGACCTTCTAGAAATCAGAGAGTGGTCTCTTATCTTTCACGTTTAGCCCCTAAACCAAAATTGAGGTCTCTGGTGATGCCCTGTGTATGCAGAAAAGTGTGAAACCTGTTAGCAGTGAGTTGATGTCAACTCATGGGGATGCCATGTGACAGAATCGAGCTGCTTCCTAGGAGTTTCTTGGTTATAAACTTGGCACACTGGACCATCATGCTTCCCCTCCATCCCCCACAGAGTCACTGGGTGGATTCAGACCGCCAACCTTCAGGTTAACAGTCCATTTTAAACCACTTGCACCCCCTAGGAACATTTCTATACCCATAGGCCTTAGATAAGTTTCTAACAAGTGAATGATACTGGGATGCCCTGTCTCCTACGCCAGCGCCCTTGTCTCTGCCGGAGTTGCTTCTTTGGCCTCCTCCGGTCTCCTGCCAGGTAACTGGCTTAATAGGGTGACTCTACATAGCTCAGAGTAGCAGGTGGCTTTTCCTAGGAATAGTCCAGGGAGCGGTCCAGGCATGTGGTGTGGCCAACCAGGAGCGTGGAGGAATTCCTCACACACCAACAGATGGACCTCACCCCGCTGCCCTCGACCCCACCAAACCTGTTACCTCTTATGTCTGCTTCAAATCAAGGTCTCTTGAGATCTGGGTTCTTTCCAGAAAGACGAAGTTCAAAAAAAGCAGTCAGAGGAACAGGGGCGGTAATTAGTCGACACATTTTGATTGATTTTGTTCTAGTTTCCTGCTCTGAATTTTCCCCTGGCACTTTTTGGTACTCATCTCTTCCTGTGTTGTCTGAGTGAGGTCCCTCGAGCTCCCCCTAAAGGGTTTCACACAGGTTGGAAGGAGACAGTTGACAGAGTTACACAGGAAGTGTTGTTCCTGGCAAAAACATACTGAGGAAATATTCAGACAACCCAGCATAGGGCAAGGGGATGAGAAGAAACTGGTAAGCTGCTGGATAAGTGAGAGGTCAAAATTAACATTTCTGAAGTCAGACAGACCTGAGTTCAAGTCCCAGCTCGTCTGTTACTTTGTAACCATGTGATCCTGGACAAGTTTCTTAACTTCTGTTAGCCTCCCAATTCTTCCTATAAAGCACGAGAACAATAACATGTGTGACAAAGGATTGGTAGCAGAGCAAGGTAGATAAGGCAATAAGAACACAATTGGTAGTTATTTTTGGCCAAAATCGAGAAGCCGAGTGAGATAAAAGGATGTAGCTGATGGAGTGCAGTGGCTGTGTCCTGGAGAAGTAACTGGAGGTGGGGACGAGGCACTGACCTGGCCCGGACACTGGAGGAGAAGGGGAAAACCAGGAAGGAAGAGGAAAGGGAAGTTGAGATGAAAATTGATAGGAAGCTCTTCTGGGCTCTGGATAGAACCCATTTCCATTCGATCCCAAAGTCTGATTCAGCCGACACTGCAGCCCCATGCTCAGAGTGGGCCCAAGGGGAGACGAGTCGGGGGCAGAGGGCAGCAAAGCCCAGGAAGTGTGATTGAACCAGATGTCACGCAGGTGAGCGTCTGTGTCTGTCACTGTTATTGGATTTAGAGGATTAAAAGAAGACCCCTTTCGGCCTTTGATCAGGTCTTGACAAGTTCCTGCTTTTTGCCCGAAGGATGGACATCCGTCGGATCAGCTTCGACACCGAGGACCTGTCCGACGATGTCATCCCACTGGCTGACGTGCGCAGTGCTGTGGCCCTTGACTGGGACTCCCGGGATGACCACGTGTACTGGACAGATGTCAGCACTGACACCATCAGCAGGGCCAAGTGGGATGGAACAGGACAGGAGGTAGGGCCCAGCCCCGTGGGGAGAGTGGACACTGAAGGATAGAGCTGCCCTCTTGAGGATAATGCCTTTCCCTTTCTTTACCACCTTGGAATTGGCTGCGTGTGGGCGCCAGAGCTTAGATAAAGTCTCGTTGGTAATAGAGCTTTGTCTCCTGCCCAGGTGGTGGTAGATACCAGCTTGGAGAGCCCTGCAGGTCTGGCCATCGATTGGGTCACCAACAAGCTGTACTGGACAGATGCAGGTATGTGCTGGCAGCCATGGCCACATCACTAATGCCTGGCTCTCTGGAATTCATTTTACTTAAAGTCTTGGCTTCAGGTAGAAGGAGGCCAGTGCTTTTCCTAGATGCCTCTGTCTTGGTTTGAAGCCATTGGTAGGTCTGACGTGGTGGGGCTGCAGCAGAACTGGAGTGAGAAGCTCACATTTGAGGGTTGGCATTTACCAAGTCATGGCAGCTATATAAGCGATTTTTAGGGATGGTTTGGAACATTTCAGATAAGGAACCTATAACCCTGTGGCCTTCTCTCCCTCACTAGCTGGGTAAAATGGGCATCTCCTATTAGATGGCTGTGGGAAGCAAGGGAACACTTTAAGTCAGGCCTAAGACTTGGTGCTGGGAAAGGTGTAGGGTCAGAGAATGCGACGAAGAGGTGTTGACATGGCGCCTGTAACAGTGGGGTCAAACATAGAGATGGTGCGCATGGGGCAGGATAGGACTCAGAGCTGGGGTTCATGCTATAAGTCATAGGCAACTTGACGTCACCTAACAGCGACAACTCAAGGTGTGGTCCCTTGACCAGCTGAATCAGCATCACCTAAAAACTTGTTAGCAGTACAAGTTCCTGGGTCCCCCATAGACCTTTGAGTCAGAATCTTGGGGAGGCAGGTTCAGGAGTCTGTGTTTTAACAAACCCTCCTGATTCTGAAGCAGCCTACAGTTTGTAAAACAGTGCCTTCAGTGCAAGGGCAGAGCTGGCTGCTTGGGTCGAGAAAGCTTCACACTTCCAGGAGGTGAGACTCTTCACCTCCTTAAGCTTCGTCTGACAGTTCAGTTTACTAACCATCCTTTGTGCCGCCGTCATTGAGCGACTGCGCCATGCAGGCTCTGCGCTGGGCACGAAGAGCACAAGGGTGAAGGTACGAGACGAGCATGTCTGGCCTCTGCTTTTCGGTAGGTACAGACCGGATTGAGGTGGCCAACACAGATGGGAGCATGAGGACGGTGCTCATCTGGGAGAACCTTGATCGTCCCCGGGACATAGTGGTGGAACCCATGGGTGGGTAAGTGTCTGTCCCCTCACAGTGAGCTCCACCCCTCCCCAGACCTGTGTGCAGGAGGGGAGCCTGGGAATAAAAGACACTGGTCGGATCCAGGGCAACTCCGAGGAAGCACAGAAGACTGCTATCTGGTTTGCTCTATGGACCAAGAAGCTTTCCATTGCCACCTCACCCCGACTTTTTGTTGTTTCTTTGGATTTCATTTACTTACAAAAAGAACTCATTGGAAAAACAAAACGAAACAAAGCAGACCTTAAATTTAGTGAAAGTAAAAGTCTCCTATAATCTTACTTTTCCTTGATAATCACTGTTAACAGTTCAGGAAATTCTTTGTAGATTTTTCTCCCAGTTGTATGTATATTTGCCATTGAGAGTGGTTTGGGGTTTTGTTTGAGTTTTTTTATAGTGTTTTTTGTTTTGTTTTTGTTGTTTATTCATTGTAATGAAAGTTTACAATGACTTAGGGTTTCCACTCATTCATTGTTGCACTTTTCTCCCTGCCCCCACCCTCCCATTCACTTTTCTCCTTGAAGAGTAAAAGAAGTGGTTTTGGTTTTTAAAAAGACATTTTTTTAATTTTTCATTTGATTTTTACTACATAGATTCTGGTGTTTTTTTGTTTTGTTTTTATTTTATGATGTAGATCTACTTCTTGTTTCTTAGTTGTTACATGAAACACTCGTTGTTGCTGTGTCAGTTCTGACTCCCAGTGACCCTCTATTGTGTTTCTGAGGTTGAACACCTGACTGGGAGCAGTTTGTCTCATTTTTCTTCCACAGAGTGGCTGGTGAACTTGAACTGCTGACCTTTCTGTTAGTGGTCCAACACAACTTCCTGTGCAATAATCAGTTAACCAATCTAGTCATGGGAGCATTTTTTACTTCTGTCTTCATTTGTCCTTTTTCTTTATTCCCCCATAGTCCTTACCTACAGCTCGCCCCTTCACTAATGGTCTCTGCCTTTATTAAGACTCTGGGTTAATGTTTTGATAGTTGATTGATATGTAAAACTTTCTAAGAGAGCATTAAGCCAGGGGTGAGGCTAGAAGCTGAGGCTGGGGGCTGAGGCACCATTGCAGGCAGAAACCCTAATACCCTGGGTACCCTGAATCCCCGTTGGGTAGTAACTGGGCACTTATAAGACCATCCTTACCTGCGCCCAGGTACATGTATTGGACCGACTGGGGTTCAAGTCCCAAGATTGAACGAGCTGGCATGGATGCCTCGGGCCGCCAGGTCATCATCTCTTCTAACCTGACTTGGCCTAACGGACTGGCCATTGACTACGGGTCCCAGCGGCTGTACTGGGCTGATGCTGGCATGAAGACAATTGAATTTGCAGGGCTGGATGGCAGCAAGAGGAAGGTAAGGGTGGCACCGAGACATCCTTCCACAGCCCTGTCAGCTTCCGGGCAGGGCAGCACTCACTGACTGGAAACTGGCTTGAACAAAGGGGACACAGGAGTTACGGGACCAGCATGGTTGTTTCTGTGAAACTGAGGCTGCCCTCAGGGTTCTGCTGGTTGGTTGATGGTAAAATGAAGCAGGATTTGTGTGGATCGTGGGCTGACAATGTATATGCACTGACTTCCCTGACAGCCAGCAACAGCTGCCAATTGTGGTCAACCAACGGCCATCAAGTTGATTCCACCCCTTGGCAACCCCGTGTGTATTCATGGACCTGTGTTCCACAGAGTTTTCAGTAACTGATGTTTTGGAGGTAGATTGCCAGGACTTTTCTTCTGAGGCACCTCTGAGTGGACTGAACTATCCAGCCTTAACCATTAGCAACACACTAACTGTTAGCACCACCCAGGGCCTCCAACAACCATCCTGACAGAGGCTGATCAGTCACCGACTGTGTACGTCTTTCTACCCTTGCCATTTGATTTTGTTACCATTTCTTTTGCTTTCATTTAAAATTGACATGAAAGTTGAAAGAATGGGGGAAAGAACATTTGCTTTGTCATTCTCCTTCCTTCTCTGTGTGTATGTGCAAATTCTTCTTCTGAGACATCTGAGATTAATTTGGAGACATCCTGCCCCTTGACCTCCAGACATTTCAATGCATATATCTGAAGAATAGCATAATGCCTTTCATAACTACTATAAGTACTATTCTAAAAATCAGGAAATTCAATGCTGAGACATTATTGCTATCTAGTGCACAGTCCATTTTTCATTCTCACTTCCAGGATGCCTTTAAAAGCTTTTCTTTTCTTTATTGACCCAGACTTCAATTCAGGGTCACCCATTGTTTAAGTAATCATGTCTCTTTAAGTTCTGACCAGAAGCACTTCCTGTCTTTCCTGACCTTTTCATTTTCACAATAAAGGCTAGTTCTTTGATAGAAGGTTCCTCAATGTGGGTTCATCTGATGCTTCTTTGTGATGAGATTCAGATTCCATGGTTTGGGCTGGAATTCTGCTTAAGTGAAATCATGTTGTAAATTCTCAATGTGTCTTAAGAGTAGGCCCACGATCTGGACTTACTCCATTGTGGATTAAGATAGTTCCACTGAAAAGCAACTGTTTTTCCTTTTGTAACTGTTAAGCCATCTGTGACTGACACAGTGGGCTCACCCACAGCAATGATTGTGATGCTGCCACAGCATCAGGCAGCGTTTTGTTCTGTTATACATAAGCTGAGAGAGCACTTCACAACCTGACAACAACGAGAAGCAGTTTATGGAGATGCACGGAGACGATGTGCATGACACAAGCCACAGCCGATCCTCACGCAGCCCCTCGGAGCTAGACGCCACTGTAGATTGATAGATTGGGGCTCAGAGAGATCTCACAACCAGCACTTGCTTGGGGTCCCACAGTGGATGCCAGGGGTGAGGTTGCGTTCTGAGCTCTTGGCCACTGTTGGACCTCCTTGGGGGGATGACACGAATGTTGGGGCCGTGGCAGGTCCTGATTGGAAGCCAGCTCCCCCATCCGTTTGGGCTGACTCTCTATGGGGAGCGGATCTATTGGACCGACTGGCAAACCAAGAGCATACAGAGTGCTGACCGGCTGACCGGGCTGGACCGGGAGACCTTACAGGAGAACTTGGAGAACCTCATGGACATCCATGTCTTTCACCGCCGGCGGCCCCCAGGTGAGCAGGCATTGGTGTAACACCAGTTTCTCTGGGCCTTTCCATGCCTGCTTCTCTGTATGAACTGCCCTCCTCTCTCCTACCTAGTGTCCACACCTTGTGCACTGGAGAACGGTGGCTGCAGTCACCTGTGTCTGCGGTCCCCAAATCCCAGCGGCTTCAGCTGTACCTGTCCCACAGGCATCAACCTCCTGTCGGATGGCAAGACCTGTTCACCAGGTGAGTCTCAGCGCCAGAGACCTGGACGCAGCCTCTCCAGGAAGGAGATTCATCCTTCCTGGCAGATGAGTTATAGCAAGAATTGAGAAAGCTTGTAGGTTCTGCTATGTGTAGAGGCTTGGGAGAGAAACTGAGAGCTTTGAGGAAAGTGGCAGGTGCAAGAGAACAGGTGAACACGTTCAAAGGCAGCTTCCAGCTAGTCCGTGTGGTGACTACATGCTTATTAGAAAAAGGTGCACCCTTCTCACAATGCTTTGCTTTCATCTGATGGGAAAGGATCACGTGTGCTGACTTAGCTAGAATCAGACACTTGACTTCCATCTGGACCACATTTGGGACAGTGGCACCTGCAGCAGCCAGAGCCCATGCCAGTTGCGAAACCTATCAGAGAGGGAAATCTCAATCTTCCACTAAATAAAAAGCCATGGAGAAGTGGTGACTGCCCCCTGTTAACTGCAGAAAATTTGTAAGACCCAGAAAAACAAGGCAGCCCGGCTCTCACACACGTCTCTGTTTATTGTGAAAGTGCACAAGGTCTGCGATGTACACGGAACTCTCCTTGAATGTAGCACCTTTGTGAGCACTCAGCCAGCACAGCCCATGGGGCAGCCTTAGCCGGAAAGTTCCAGAAGCAGACCTAGTTGCCCAGATGTTTGGAAGTCAAGGTTATCCCCTGGGGGATACTACATGTAAGCTACTTTGGATCCTGATCCACCGAAAGATCTGGAAGAACATAGAGTGTGTGCTCTGAGCTTTGCCTCCTAAATGCTGAGCCTCCTCGTTCCTTGTTGCCATGTTGCTGGGTGCCATCAGGCCGATTACAGCCCGGGATGACCTTGTAGAACAGAATGAAATGCTGCCTGATCCCGTGCTGTCGGCACCATCATAGATTTGTTACTATGTTTGAGCGCATTGTTGCAGCCGCTGGGCCAGACCATCACCCTGGGAGTGTTCCTCTATCACTGACCCTCCGCTTTACCAAACATATTCCTTCTTCAAGGACTAATCCCTCCTGACAACATGTCCACAAGACAGTATCTCGCCATCCTCCCTTCTAAAGATCATTGGACTGTCTATCTACCAAGACAGGTTTCTTTATTCTTTGGACAATCCACGGCATAGTCAATATTGTTTGCCAATACTGTCATTCAAAAGTGTCAATTCTTTGATCTGCCTTATTCATTGTCCAGCTTTCACATGCAATTAAGGTGATTGAAAAATACCATGATTTGACTCAGGTGCACCTTACTCCTTAGAGTGATATCCTTGCTGTTTAGCACTTTAAAGAGGTCTGTTGCAGTCGATTTGCCCAGAGTAATAACATACTATTTTAGGGTTTGACTGCTTTTTCCATGGACATTTATTAGAGAGTCAAGCAAAGGGAAATCTTTGACAATGTCAATACCTTCTCTGTTTATGATTATGTTGTGAAGATTTTTGTTTTCTTTTTGTTGGGGTGAAAGCAATAATGAAAGCTCTCTTCATTCATAGTAGAGGAGGCTTCAGGCGAGGTGCTTCTCTAATATTAATGGAGAGCCATGGTTTATTGAACCCCTACAGTATCTGCTAAGTGCTTTAGGTATCTCTTTAGTCCTTACTATAGCCCTGTTATTGTCTCTATGGTTAGGGAACCTGCGGCTTGGATAATTCACATCCCTTGCCCAGGGTCACACTGCTAGACTAGCAAAGCCAGGCCTGGAATTCCGTTTCCCTGACTCCCGTTCCTCTCAATGGCTGTGCTGGAGTGAGTGTCCTCTCTCCCTCTCGTCACCTGCGCAGGCATGAACAGTTTCCTCATCTTCGCCAGGAGGATAGACATCCGCATGGTCTCCCTGGACATCCCTTATTTTGCGGACGTGGTGGTGCCAATCAACATTACCATGAAGAACACCATCGCCATTGGAGTGGATCCTCAGGAAGGTCTGTGCTTCCCTCCTTCCCCCCGACCTGGCCATCTGGCCCTGCTCTACAGCAGCACCCACAGTCCACTGTTTTCTTTTACCTCTCACTCCTGATAAGACTCTTGTCCTCTGGCATGTCCCCTGTCCCATCTCTCTAGCATAATCTCAAAATTATAAAGACATAGCTTTAAGTCCCTCCTCTCCCTCTCCTCCAAGACCGCTCCTGGTACGATATTTCTACATTTACCTTGACCTCCTCTGCTAGGGGCCGTAGGTCTTCTGATGTACCCTGGGGTGTCAAGGCATGAGGCAGCACTGTCATTTTGGGGCAGTGAGACTCCAGCCTGCCTGAACCAAGCCTTCCCTCCCCAGGAAAAGTGTACTGGTCTGACAGCACGCTCCACAGGATCAGCCGTGCGAGTCTGGATGGTTCACAGCATGAGGACATCATCACCACAGGTGGGGCTTCCTCCCAGCCAGGGGACCACCTGTCTGACTCTAGAGCTGGGAAGTGGCCCATCTGCTTTAAGGCAGGAGCCAGTGTGCTCTCTTGACTCCCTGTAGGGCTACAAACCACAGATGGGCTTGCTGTGGATGCCATTGGCCGGAAGGTCTACTGGACAGACACGGGCACCAATCGGATTGAAGTGGGCAACCTAGACGGATCCATGCGCAAAGTGTTGGTGTGGCAGAACCTGGACAGCCCCCGGGCCATCGTCCTGTACCACGAGATGGGGTGAGAGCCGGGTCTGGGGCTGTGGGCAGCAGCGTGGACTGGCGTGGCGAGTGGAAAATGAAAAGTGAGCATGCTTCAGGAGGCTCCTTGAAGTGACTTCCATGCCTTAGGAACTAAGCTCTTTCAGGGTAACAGAATAGTGTAGAGATTAAAAGAGTGAGACTTCGAGTCAGAACATCAAGATTCAAGTTCCTTCAGCTTTTAGAAGCTAGACCGCTTGAAGCCCACTCCTCTACCCTTTTTATTATTGCCTTCGAGTCGAGCATGACTCATAGCAACCCTATGAGCAAAAGGCCTGAAACCTACAACTATCGACATTTATCAAAGTTCATAGAGTTTCCAGAGACATGTTACTTAGGAAGTGGATGCCATTCCTGCTTATAGTTATAGCTTAATTTATGTTCCATGGAGTCCCGTCTGACTCATAGAGAGTCCACGTGACAAAGATTGACCCATAAAATTTCCTAGGCTGTAATTTTTATGGACGCAGGTCATATCTTTCTCCTGTGGAGCAGCTGGCTGATATGAACCACTGACCTTTAGGTAATACCAAGCTTTTAACCACTGTGCCACCAAGGCTTTTTTTTGTGGTAAATATATATAAAGCTGTGGTTACCTAGTGGTGAGAAGCAGTGCTCAATCCCTAAGGCACATGGTTCGAATCCAGCAGCTGTAACAGCTGCTCCACAGGGGAGGATCAGCTATGGGTCTGTTCTGACTTGATGGTACTCAACAACAAATTATATATAATTTATATATATTGTATGTAATATATAATTTATATATAATATATGTTACATATATAATTTATCTATATAAAAACACAAAACATTTTGTCACTCCAACAATTTTTCATGTACAAAAAATGTTCATGGTGTTGAGCAATGCTCACTATCCTCTTCCCAATTGTTCTACCACCAACAGAAACTCAGTGAGTCCAAGAACGAATTCCCTTTTCCCTTATTCCGATTCCTGACAACCTAATGATCTTTGTTTTCTATATATGAGCCTATTTCCTATAAGGAAAATCAATGTGGCTAATTTAACATACTGAGCACAATGTTTTGTTTTTTTTAGGATTGGTTGGTTGGTTGGTTTTGTGTTGTTTTTTTTTTAAAAAAGGAAATTTATACTGGTTTACATACAAAGTTCATAAAGTTCGTACATATTGTATTTCACAACTGATCTTTCTCCTTTCCTTTACCCGCCCCTCCCTCACCCATCAAATTGTGTGGCCCTATGATTAAGTCCCCCACATTGGATCCTGATATTCATTCTACAATAATGGTCTTATATAGTATTTGTCCTTATGAGACTGAGTTAGTTCACTCAGCATAATGCTCTCCAGTCCCTCTCATGTTAGGTAGTAATATACAAAATAATTGCTCCTGCCTGCTGCATAGAATTCCATTGTGTGAGTGTACCATAGCTTCTCAATCCATTCCATTGTGGTTTCAGCATGTTTTCAAGATTCAGCCATGTTGTAGCATGTATCAGGACTTCATTTCTCTTCGCTGTTGTGTTGATGGGTGCTGTCAGGTCATCTACAACTCATTTTTCTTCATAGCTGACTAATATTGCTTGGCTGTATCATATTTTGTTAATAGATGTATCAGTCAATGATCATTTCTGCCTTTAGGTTATCATGAATTGTGCTGCCATGATACTGTTTTTAACCTCTGTTCCTCAGCTTCTTACCTGTGAAACAGAAGTAATCTTTGGAATAATCAACCATTTAAAGTCAAAAGAGGCTCATTTACTCAAGAATAAATCCTGGAAGGCAACAAGAGTTAGGATTAATGGAAAACAGAATTATAGGAAGGAAGTGAAGAAAGTGCAATGAATTATACTGTGGATATTATAATTATTGTTATAAAACAAAATATGTATATATGTTTGGCTGATGGGGGAAAGCAGAAGTATTATTGAAAATGCAAACCGTCCGTGAGGATCAAGTGTAAACTTTGCCCATTGTCCCCCACCACATGAAAGCTGAAGGAATGGGGTAGTTGTGGGTATAACCAGAGGGCGGTGTTCCTCCCCTCCCTTCCTCAGGTTCATGTACTGGACAGACTGGGGGGAGAATGCCAAGCTAGAGCGGTCTGGAATGGATGGCTCCGACCGTACCGTGCTCATCCACAACAACCTCGGCTGGCCCAACGGCCTGACGGTGGACAAGACCAGCTCCCAGCTGCTGTGGGCTGATGCCCACACGGAGGTGAGCACCCTGTCCCTGCTGCTCCTGTTCAGGGGCTCCCCTGATGGTCATACCCCCGACACATCCTGAACGCCTCATGTTCTCCTTCTCCTGCAGCGCATTGAGGCTGCTGACCTGAACGGTGCCAATCGGCACACACTGGTATCACCCGTGCAGCACCCATACGGCCTCACCCTGCTTGGCTCCTATATCTACTGGACTGACTGGCAGACCCGAAGCATCCACCGTGCCGACAAGGGCACTGGCAGCAATGTCATCCTGGTGAGGTCCAATCTGCCAGGCCTCATGGATATCCAGGCTGTGGACCGGGCACAGCAGCTGGGTGAGAAGACCCTTGAGGGGCTTCCTGTGATCAGGAGTCTCTGACTTTCTAAGCATGTCTCAACTTCAGAAGTTCCTTTGACAGAGAGAGAGATACGGACTCATCTAACCAGAGGGATCAAGCTGTGTCCCTCTGGGGGTAGCTGGTATTACACCTATGTGACGCTGTCACTTTCAAAGGACTCCCGGGACACTTCTTCTTCTACTCATCCCTGCTGAGTCCTGAATCCTGTCTCTTAGAATAGCAACGATATATGTATGACAGCAATCTGAAACAAGGGATGCATTGTAGGGAGGGAGGGAAGTGGGGCAAGAAAATATGCAATAGTGGAAAATAAAAAAACAGCAAGGTCTCAGTCATGTGAAACTAGGACGTTTGACGGATTTACCAGGCTAGGTGTGAAAACTTGTGCCTGTCTCTCTCTTCACCAGGTTTTAACAAATGTGGCCTGAGAAATGGCGGCTGTTCCCACCTCTGCTTACCTCGACCCTCTGGCTTCTCTTGTGCCTGCCCCACTGGCATCCAGCTAAAGGGAGACGGGAAGACCTGTGATCCTTCTCCTGAGACCTACCTGCTCTTCTCCAGCCGAGGTTCCATCCGACGAATCTCCCTGGACACCAATGACCATACGGATGTGCATGTCCCTGTTCCTGAACTCAACAATGTCATCTCACTGGACTATGACAGCGTGGAGGGGAAGGTCTATTACACAGATGTGTTCCTGGATGTTATCAGGTATACCACGGAAAACTCCAGAGTCCCAACCCCACACAAACACTGCTGTTGAACAGTTCTAACTCATAGCAACTCTCCCCAGGGTTCTGTGACTGTAAATATTTACAGGACGAGACTGCCTATCTTTCTCCCACGGAATGACTAGTGGATTCAAAGTTCAAGCCTTCTGGTTAGCATCCTGATAAGTTAGGCACTAGGCCAGGAGGGCTCCTTTCTGATCACTGAGAAGTGAAGCTATGTTCTGTGTTGACTGACCTCTATCTAAATGGGCTTGGATAAAGAGTCCTAATCCTGACTTGTTTGACTTTGTGGTATTACCACTTAGAGCAGAATTCCAAACTTATTTTGCTTATTAAAGTTTATATAGAAGCTCAGTATATATACTCGAAAAAAAAAATTTAAAGCCAAAGGAAACAGATAAAGTTAGGCTGGAATTTCTGTTATCACTGGGCCCTGAGGTACTCAAAGTCCTGTAGGACTCACTGATGACCAGGTCTTACAGATGAATCATATGTGTGTCTCATACAACGGGGCCTCTGGACAATGCTGTGGTCACTCACTTATTGCTGTGAGTCAGAACCAACTCATAACTGACCCTTCAGAGGATTTTCAGAGACTCTAAACTGCACAAAAGGAGATGGCCCATCTTTTTTTCTGTGGAGCATCTGGTTGCTTCAAATTACCTACCTTTAGAGCAGCATGACTCCTTATCTCCAAAGCCATCAGAATAGTCCATGGGTTTAGGGGGTTGTTTTTGTGTTTTATTTATTTTTATCCTTTGTGCTTATGGCCAAAATTAGCTAAGGCATATGATGTACTACCACCAGGGAGAGTTCTTTACCATGAAGGAGAATCTCACATGGAATATGAGCAAGGCCTTCTCTTTAGCTCCCTCTGAAGCTTGTATCAGGTTCTCATTTTGGAAAAGGGGAACATATGTCCTTTATAGAAGTCCCCCTGGTGATGGAGAAATAGCCTTCCATCCTGAGATGGAGGTACTTGGTAAAGAGACTCTTTAAAAATGTACAGTAAAGTTTTAACAAATTGGCCTTATGATCACCACTCTGCAAGTCTGTCTCTTCCAAAAAGTATACTGGGAATTATTAACTCTTAACCTGTCTTCTGTTAGGACATGAATCCAAACTGCCCATTTCCACTTAGCAGGAAATAATCTCTTTTAATAACTCACTTGAAACAATAAATGCTGGCGAGGTTGTAGAGAGACTAGAACCCTGATTCATTGTTGGTGGGAATGTAAAATGGTTCACCCACTGTGGAAGGCAGTTTGGCACTTTCTCAAAAAGTTGGAAATGCAAATACCATTTGATCCAGCAATTTCACTTCTGGGAATATACCCTAAAGAAACCAGAACCACCATCCAAAGAGATATATGCACACATATGTTTATGGCTGCATTATTTACAGCAGCAAAGAGATGGAAGCAATCCAAATGCCCATCAACACACAAATGGATAGAAAAACTATTGTATATTCACACAATGGAATACTATGCAACACTGAAAAACAATGAACCCATAAAACATTACACAACATAGGTGACCCTGGAGGACATTATGGTGAATGACATATCTCAGTCACAAAAGGACAAATACTGCATAACACCACTGTTATAAAGCAGGTCTGACATGGGAAGTCAATAGGATAAGAGTGGATAGATAATGAACATTGCATATGAACAGATGCAGAAAAACACTGTTTAAAAGTAGTATATGATTAAGCATTATATATAGGCCGGAATAAGAGGTACATTGCAAGGAGAACTGGGGGTAAGGGAGGAGGTAATTGTGCAACAATGAATAAATATTGAAAAAAGTTAACTAGGAGAGGAGGAAGGAAGGAAGAGGGGGTAAAATGTGCAATAATGAATGAATGAAAATCTAACATTTCTGTAAACTTTCATTAAAATCATGATTAAAATAAATACTTTTATTAAATAAAAACGCTCCCTTGAGTCCCTGGGTGGCACAAATGGTTAAGTAGTTAACTATTAACTCAAAGGCTGACAGTTTGAGCACACCGGAGAAGTCCTGGAATGCACGCTTGGCGATCTGTTTTCGATCAGAACCTTGAAAACTTTGGGCAGCACAATTCTTTCTGCGCATGTAGGGTCACCATGGGTTGGAAACAACCACATGGCAACTAACAAGAATCCTAGTTCATTCATTGTGCGAATACTTTACTAAGTACCTACCACTGTGGCTGAGTGGCCTGTACTAACAGTACAGATACTTGCTCATGGAGCTTGATCTCATGGGGCTCCAACTATGGAAAAACAGTTAAAACATGTTTCAGTCTCTTCCTGGTAAGGCTGGTCACTCATCCAATTCTGGGCTCTTCCCCAAGGCGAGCAGACCTGAATGGCAGCAACATGGAGACAGTGATTGGACGTGGGCTGAAGACCACAGATGGCCTAGCAGTGGACTGGGTGGCTAGAAATCTGTACTGGACAGACACGGGTAGAAACACCATCGAGGCATCAAGACTGGATGGTTCCTGCCGCAAAGTGCTGATCAATAACAGTCTGGATGAACCCCGGGCCATTGCTGTTTTCCCCAGGAAGGGGTAAGTTTATGCCACCAGAAACAAGACACAGGGGGAAAGTACCTGGGGGAAGAGAGGTCCTTTGTAGGTGCCTTATACACTAGTCATGTCAATACGTGCCCTCTATCCTCTCAACCACTGGTACCATCTTCCCATGCCTTGGTGGTGATGATGCTTTGTTTGTCAGGTACCTCTTCTGGACTGACTGGGGCCATATTGCCAAGATTGAGCGGGCAAACCTGGATGGCTCTGAGCGGAAGGTCCTCATCAACACTGACCTGGGTTGGCCCAATGGCCTCACCTTGGATTATGATACCCGAAGGTAGGGAATCTATCCTGCTCAACCTCCTGAAAATTGAGTGGACAAAGGAGAAGGAGGTAGAAATTGAAGTAAGGAAAATGAAAAAGAGTAAGTAATTCCTAGTAGATGGGGAAGATAAAACAGTGAGAAGAGTAAAGGGATATTTCTAATAGAGGTTACCTAATCCAGCCCACAACCCTCAGATGGGATTTACTTGATTCTTTGAAATGTTTTTCATTTGAGGGTAGCCTTCTGGCCAGACTGCAGGGCTCACTAGCCCCTATCCATTTACAGAACTGATTCTTGGTACAAGTTACCATCCTGGTCCCTCAGATATTAAAATTGGTGGCCAAGTGGTAGAGAGTTGTGCTGCAGCTCAAAGGCACATAGTTAAACTCATTAGCAGCTTCACAGGAGAAAGATAGGAAATCTCCTCTTGTGGAATTTACAGCCTTTGCAAACGAGCTCATTATGAAACGAGCTGTGAGTTATTTCCAACTCGTAACAATACAAGACATAACATAACAACCCACAACATAACAACAAGAACAACAGTCCTAGAAAAATGGAGCTCTGGCGGTGTAGTCCTTAAGCAGTAGCACTGTTAATCCAAAAACTGCACCTCTCTGGTGGTTCAAATACACCAGCGGCTCCATGGGAAAAAGATGGGAAATATCATTCAAATCCACAGCTGATCCTACATTGATGGAAGTTCTGTGGAGGATTGGCTATGCATTAATTTTAACTCAATGGCTGTGAATTTTTTATCTTACCAGTTTTTTGTTTGTTTGTTTTACATTTTTATTTTATATTGCTTTGTTTAAGAAGTTTGTATAATTGTGTTTTACACTCTCTCTCATTTACATTGTGTTTCATACAATCACTCCCATTCATAATGTTTTATAAAATTAGTCATCACCAAACCATGCCCATCTCTACCCTGTCTTTCCAGATCCCTGCTGGATCTTTGCCATTTTCTTTACTCACCCTTCCCTCCAACCACTAAATTGTGTGACCCTATGATTGTCCTCTTGCCCATCCTCACCCCTCTGTTTCTCACCCCCTTTACCTTGCATACCCATACCCACTTTGGGGTTTTTTCCCTCATGCATGTTTTACTAGTTATCTTTCTTTTTCTACAATAATGGTCTTATGCAGTATTTGTCCTTTTGAAACTGAGTTAGTTCACTCCACATAATGCTGTCCAGTCCCCTCCCAAGTTAGGTAGCAATTTTTTAAATCATTGCTCCTGGGTGCTGCGTAGTATTTGATTGTGTGAATGAATTAATGTTTCTCAGTCTGTTTTATTGTGGTTGGACATTTGGCCTGTTTGCTCTTGCGATAGTGAATAATGCTGCTACAAACAGTTTTTTGGTGTACAAATGTCCATTTGTGTCCCAGTTCTAATTTTCTTGAGGTATATTCCTAGCAGTGGAATAGCTGGGTCATATAGAATTTCTATGTTCAGCTTTTCAAGGAAACCCCAAACTGCCTTCCAGAGTGTTTGTACCATTTTACAATCTGACCAACAGTGTATCTAGTGTTTCTATCGCTCCACATTCTCTCCAACATTTATTGCTTGCTGTTAAATTTTAAACTTTGCCACTGCTACTGGAGTGAGATGGTATTTAATTTTGGTTTTGATTTGCATTTTTCTTATTGCAATTTTGAGCAATTATTCATTTGTCTGTTGGCCATGCAAATGTTTTCCTCTGTGAAAAGTTTTTCTATGTCTTTTGTCCATTTTGTAATTGGGCCTCTTTCTTCTGGAGGGCCTGTAGGATCCTATAAACTTTGGTTTTGAAACTCTTGTCTGAAATGATATTGTCAAACGTTTTTCCCCAGTCAGTAGGTTTTCTATTCACCTTGTTGGGGAAAAAGAATTATGTGCATAGAGATTTAATCTTTAGAAGATCCCATTCATCAATTTTATCCTCTCCTGGTTGTGTATTTCTGGCTGTATTTGTCAGCATTTTTATACTATGGACTAGGCCTTCTAAGCTTGATCCCACTTTGTCTCTTATGGTCTTCATGGTTTTGAGGTTAACCCCTGTCTCTGGTACACCTTGAGTTACTTTTTGTGTATGATGAGAGTTGTGAATCCTGCTTCAGCTTTCTGCACGTAGTAGTCCAGTTTTGCCAGCACCATTTAATAAGTTTAGTTTCTTTGTTAAATATTGGTTGACCATAGATAATTTCTGGGTTCTCAATTCTATTCCATTGGTCTATGTACCTGTCATTTTACTAGTACCATGCTGTTTTGGTTTCTTACAGCTGTGTAGTACGTTTTGAGATCAGGGAGTACTATGCCTCCCACATCATTCTTATATTTCAGAAGTGCTTTGCTTATTTGAGGTTTATTTCCTCTCCAAATAAACTTACCAATTGATTTTTCTATCTCCTTGAAAAATTACTTCAGTATCTATATTGGAATTGCATTAAATATACAGATTGCTTCTGTTAGGATTATCATTTTCACTATATTGACTCTTCCTAACCATGAACAGGGAACATTTTTCCATTTATTAAGGTCTTTTTTGTTTCCCACAAAAGTGCTCTATAGTTTTCTTTGTGAAGGTCTTTTGTGTCTCTAGTTAGGTTTATTTCTAAGTATCTCAGTTTGTTGGTTATTGTAAATGGTATCAAATGCAAGTAAAATCTCTCTAAAGGTAAATAAAAAAATGCCCGGAACAGTATATTGACAGAGAACTACCAGAATTCCAAGCTAAGTGTAGAAGAGATTGTAGTACTAGAGACATTATCGCCAGTGTCAGATGGATCTTGGCAAAAAAGTAAAAAATACAAGAGGAATGTCTATCTGTGTTTCATTGACTATGCAAAGGTATTTGATTCTGTGAATCACAACAAACTGTGACTCATCTTGAGGAGAATAGGAACCTCAGAGCACTTTATTGTGCTTATGCAAAACCTATACTTAGACCAGGAAGCAGTCCTCAGAACAGAGCAAGGAAACACTGCATGGTTCAAAATCAGGAAAGGAGTGTGTCAAGGATATGTCCTGTCTCCATACCTTTTCAGTCTATATGCAGAAGAGATCATTTGGGAGGCTGGGCTTTTTGAGGATTATTGTGGCATCAGGATTGGAGGAAGACTCATCAACAACCTACACAATGCAGATGACACAACCTTGCTTGCTGAAACTGAGAAGGACCTGAAGTACTTGCTGCAGAGGGTCAAGGACTATAGTCTTCAATATGGACTGAAGCTCAACATCAAGAAGACAAAGATTCTCACCATTGAGCCAACTGGCAGCACCATGATGGATGGAGAAGAGACTGAGGTTGTTAACAAGTACAGCTTGCTTGGCTCCACAATCAACACTCTTGGAACCAGCAGTCAGAAAAAGATGAATTGCACTGGGAAAATCAGCTGTCAGGGATCTCTCCAGAATACTGAGAAGCAATGATGACAGTCTAGAGACTAAGGTACACCTGATTTAGGCCATGGTCTTTGCAGTTACTCGCTATGCATCAGAAAGCTGGACAATGATTAAGGATGACAGAAGAAGAATCAATGTCTTTGAGTTGTGGTGCTGGAGAAGAGTCTTGATTGAACATAACATGGACTGCCAAGAAAACAAATAGGTCTGTCTTAGAGAGGTTGAAACTAAGTTTCTCCTTGGAGGCTAGGATTTTGAAGCTCCATTTCACATACTCTGGGCACATGGCAAGGAGCCATGTCCTTGGAGAAGTACATCAAGGTCCTTGGGGAAGGACATCATGTTCAGAAGGATAAAGGGACAGTACAGGAGAGGAAGACCTTGAATGAGATGGATTGATACAGTAACTGAGCCAATGGGAGTAGGTATGTCAAAATCAGTGAGACTGTCTCAGGATAGCACAGGGTTCAGAGCTGTACTACAAAGGGTTGCTATGAGTTGCAGGGGACTCGATGGCACATAACAACAACAAAATTGCCTTCTTATTTTCCTTCTATATTTTCTTTGTTACTGTAGAGGAATCCCACTGACTTTTATAGTGATCATGTATCCTGCCTCTCTACTAAATTAGTCTAATAGCTCTAACAAGGTTTTTTTTTTTAGTCCTTTGGGTTTTCTATGTACACTATCATATCATCTGCATACAATGATAGTTTCACCATCTCTTTGCCGATCTTGATGCCTCTTATTTCCTTCTCCTGACATATTAATGGCAGTGAATTTGATTTGTTTGAGTATGAGTCTCGTGTGCCATCTGTTGGTACACCTCCATGGGTTTTCAGAGGCAGTAAATCGCCCTGGAGGAGACTGTCTGTCCTTCTCCTGTGGAGAAGCTGGTGGGTTAGAAGTGCATGCCTGTGGGATCACAATGCAATTTCTTAACACTAGGCCACCAGAGCTCCCTAGAATTTGAATCTAGGGAAAAAATATGGAGAGTAAGAGCAGATCTGAAGCAATTTGTTTCTCTTTTTCCCTGCAAAACAGGGGGAGAGGATAAAAGAGAATCAAAACAGAATTGCTGAATGTCCTCTTCATTTCGTTTCAGTTGAGTCTGTATAGACCAAAGGTGATAAAGCTCCATCTCACATACTTTGGGCATGTTGCTAGGAGAGGGAGAAGGATGTCTATTGGAGAGGGACGTCATGCTTGGAAAGGTAGAGAGTTGGCAAAAGAGAAGAAGGCCCTCAGCCAAATGAATTGACACAGTGACTGCAGCAACAGGCTGATAGCAGAGATGATGAGGTTAGCACAGGATAGGACAAGGTTCAGATCTGTTGGTCATAGGGTCACTATTTATGAGTTGCACTTGACTTGACGGCAACTAGCACTACACTTAGAGACTGTTCTTGAAAATTGAGCGTTGGATTCTGGGCTGAGAGTCAAAGAGTGATCAGGTTGCTGAAGATCAATTCACAGAGGTGATGGTTCCTCTAAGGTCACTAGACTGACAACCTCTCCCCAGAAACGCTTTGGCCTCTCTACTTATCACTCACTCTCCCTCTTCAGCTTTGAGACTTCCATTATCCTCTCAGCAAAGGTGCTTCTTGACTACACATTGCCAGTTCAGCTCAGGAGGGGCCAGCTAGCTTCTCATGGGGAAGGACAGCCAAGCCACGCCCCTCTCCTTTTTCTCACAGGATCTACTGGGTAGACGCACATCTGGACCGGATTGAGAGTGCCGACCTCAACGGGAAACTGAGGCAGATCTTGGTCAGCCATGTGTCCCACCCCTTTGCACTCACACAGGTACTGGCTGAAGAAAGTAGTAACTAAACCTCTTCATATGGGTGTTTTCTTTGGAGTTCTAAGTCAGCATCCCCAGCCCTAGTTGCCACTGAATACATGTGCTATAGAGGCTTGTCATAGTGGGGTTGGGGGAGGGGGTCAGGAGGGATTATTTCCATGCTATGGAACCCTATTACCATGGACTTTGCTACTGCTGTTGGACAACCCCATTCTGGCATCTGAAGGTATAGCTTTCCAACATTCTTGTGCAGAGCAGCTAACTGTAAAGCAGATTCCTGGGTCCTGGCCACAGACAATTGACTTCCTGAGCATTGGGCCCAGTAATAAGCATTTCAACAAGTTCCTCAATTGAACCCAATGCTGTAGTCCCAGCATCCCAGCTCAGATAGCTCATTTAGTGCCAGTAGGGTGGTTTGGCTTTGAGCCCAGAGTTTGAGGCAGCTGGCCAATCAGTGCCTATTAAGTACCAACAACATGCCAGGCACCAAGGTTCACAGTTCCTTCTGTGCTGTTAAATAACTGGGATGAGAGCCTAAGCCTCTGTAAGCTTTAGTTACCTGTAACTTGTAGACGTTTAGTAATAGTACCCATCTCAAATATACACAATAGCTTAGTACCTGGCATGTAATAAGCACTTGGTGTGGGTTATCTCGAACCAACTCAATTAGCTGCCAATTTGGAATATCCTGACCAGTAAAATAATTTGAGGAATGACAAAGGAGACCTACGGAGCTTGTAGCCTAAACAAGGATTCTTAATTATTTTAAAATGTCATCCTTTTTAAACAAAGATTATCTCCCCTGTCTGTATTGTAGTCTACCAATTGGATTTTTTTTGGTCTGACTTTATTTAATGGGAGACTTCTTTATTCATACTCTAAATGCAAAATTACAGGATAAAACATACGTACTTTTGCAGTCTGAAAGTATGGGTCTCCAGTACATACCTCTGGGCCAGCAGGCATAAAATGCATCCATTGCTCCTCTAGTTAAGAATCTCAGGATCTCTACAACGGAAGGCAATGACCCGCAGAAGGAATCCAAGGGAATAGAGTTGCAACTCTGAGCGAAGGGTCCAGAAGCAGGAACCTAGAAGAACCTCCAAAATTACTCTTCCTTGCTACTTAGGGGATTCATGTATTCATTAGGCCACTTCTCTAAGTTATGGAGGACTAAGTATTAAGTGCTGCAGGTTCAGAAAGGAGTGAAACCTGATCTTCTTTGAAGATCTTCGTTTAGAAGGATAGACATATCAGCATCTATTATTGTATTAAATCACACTTACAGATGTGCATACAAGGTACAGAACAGCATGGAAGCGTGAGCTAATAGGGATTTGGGGAAATTTTCAAGAGACAGTCCTATCTAAGGATGCATAGATGTTAACTTCATGGATAAGAGATGAAGAGGACATTTTAGCCATGCATGTAGCGAGGCAAAAGCAGAGGTAGGTACAGAAGCTGTACCAGGGACTGTCAAATAATATTTCTTCTTTATTGGGCTTCCCTGTTGAGTAGCAAGACAGGTGGATCTACTGGACAGACTGGCAGACCAAGTCCATCCAGCGTGTAGACAAGTACTCAGGCCGGAACAAGGAGACGATATTGGCGAACGTGGAAGGGCTCATGGATATCATCGTGGTTTCCCCTCAGCGGCAGGCAGGTGGGCCCTTCCATCCTGGGCAGGTTTCCTTGCCATCAGTAGGGTGTTGATAACCAAGACAATTAGGGGCCTGGAAGAATCACTGGGTTCACATTTTACGCTGTTAGACTGCCTTTTAAGCACCCTGTGGTTTTACTTCTCTTGTCCTAATATCTCTGGGAATGGAATAGCTTTGCATTTCTTCCTTTTGGAGGTGTGTTAAATTAGGAGACCTATTTCTGTCCCAGATCATACCTGCATCTCTTTTGCCTCCAGGGACCAATGCCTGTGGGGTGAACAATGGTGGCTGTACCCACCTCTGCTTTGCCAGAGCCTCGGACTTTGTGTGTGCCTGTCCTGATGAACCTGATGGCCGGCCCTGCTCCCTTGGTGAGTTGAGGTGAAACAGTCTCCTGGGACACAAGTGTCCTTGTAAAGACAGGGAGCCAGCAGCTTCAGTTTTGGACTTCTAAGTGGGATCTCCCTACAGAGAATTGCAAACAATTCACTGATGGAGGCACTATAGTATAGTGACTATATGTGAGCAATGAATTTGGGCTTAGGAATTGCACAGACGTGGGTTTGATTTTAGCGACTGCCATTTCCTAGACTGGAATTTAGGTTTCCTGATTCTGTGATCCTTGCTGTGGTTTGTGCATTACTCTGTCATCTTCTAGTGAGTTTACATCCTGCCTTCATGGGCCCACTAGGCCATCCAGTGCTACTATTATTGGATTCTAAATTCTTATTCAGACTGTTAACAAGGACCGCTATGGGCAACTAGCAGATTACTTTGTCAAGTTCTTCAGATGCCGCTCCTGGACCATAGAACAGTTTTGGCTTCCAGTGGCTCACTCCAACCTTCTTTTCTCTTCAGTGCCTGGCCTGGTGCCCCCAGCGCCCAGGGCTACCAGCACAAATGAAAAGAGCCCAGTGCTGCCCAACACACTACCTACCACCTTGCGTTCTTCTACCACCCGGTCTCGCACATCTCTGGAGGAAGGAAGGTAAGTAGGATTCAAATAACCACCCTTAACCGGCAGAAAATCAGTGGGACTAGCTTCATAATTCTGTTAGATTGGAGGTAGATCACATTATTGTCTCTGTCAGCTTCTGCTTTTGAGGCAGATTATCCTATTTAGATTTACAGATTGCTGCAAATGATATCTTTTGTCCTAAGGTTAGCAAACTTTAAGAACAATTATAGAGCGAAAGCACTCAGGAAGAGTTCTTACGTGACATCCTTTTCCTTCTGAGAGAAAAAAAAAGTATTTCCTCTTATATCATGGGTTAAATAAAGGAACTTGTACTACAATTCACTAAGAAGCCCTCAGATGATAGTTCTTGTTTTTGTTATCTAATGCTGCTGTGAGAGAAGTACATGTGGATGACTATAACAAAGAAATTTAGTTTCTCAACATTTAGGAGGCTGGAAGTCTGAATTCAGGAGTCTGGCTCTAAGGGAAAGTCCTCATCTCCTTTCAGCATGTATGGACTTGACATTCCTTGGGCCTCACTAGGTACCTTGGCATCATTCTTCCCCTGGGTTTAGGAAGGTCTCAATGCAGAGACTCTGGTTCCACATGATATTCTCTGGCTGAGGTCTGTCTCCTCTCTGCTTACTTCTATCTCTTTTTATCTCTTGTAAAATAAAATGTGTGAGTCAAACAAGGATAAGGCTTGAGTTACAGTGTGACTTAAGGATGGAATTTAAGTAAAGGTGTGATCTCTTGTAAAACTGTGACTCAACATACAACCCCTGCCTGAAGCTGTTTCATTATCATATTGTGGTGGTGGTGGTGGTGGTGGTGTTGTCCTGCATTATTGAGTGGGAACTGACTCATAGCTGACCCTCCAGTGTATTTCCAAAGGTAATTAATCTCCCAGGAGTTGATGGTTTATCTTTCTCCCACAAAGCAGCTATTGGATTCAAACCATGTGCCTTTGAGTTACCACTAAGCCACCACAGCTCATTACCACACAGAGGTGAAGATTTACAGCACATCACAAAATAGAGGATAAGTACATCAAATCACAAGCTGAAAGACAGCCTTAGAATATGGAGAATCATAACACAGCCCCACCGACACATGGTTGGTTGGGTTATGTTTTTGTGTATGTGTAATTTTAACAAAAGTTTAGAGAAAAGTTGGATTTTCATTCATTCATTGTTACACGTTTTTACCCTCTTTCCTTCCCTCCTCCCCCCCTTCCCAGTTCACTCTTTTTGGTTTTGTATTTTTAAATATTCATTCATTTTGGAGTACTTACTTCCCTCCATCCTCCTCCACCCAGTCCTCTTTGCAACATACTTCTTATTCTGGGTTGTTGTCATACATATAATGCCTAATCATATATTCCTTTTAAACAGTTCTTTCCTTCATCTGTTCCAGTGCAATGTTCATTCTATCCACTCTTGTCCTATTCTCCTCCCAAACCCTCATGACAGACATGAGCAGGATGCGTGTTTTTTGCAGATACAATTCAATTGATAATAGTGGAATTTGGTTTGTGACTTTGTCTTACAACAAAAGGTTTCCCACGGCATCTAGTATTCAAATAGACACATATACACACAAATTATTAAATAGCCAAGTGCAATAATGAACAGTTTTTACACCAAGTAGAATATATTATGTTCTCTTGAATCAAAGTTACTGTCAGATAAGATGCATCCTGATTAGAGAGGTTAAACAAATAAAATGACAAGCAATGTCTGTGATACCAGGTATTAGTTTGTTCTCTTTCATATGTTAGGATATTAAAAAAATATGATGTTACATGCAATTGAGAGATATTCTTTTTTATACCTGTCTTTTGTTCATTTTGGAAGCAGGAGTGGCATCCCCTTCCTAAATAACATGCCTCTGGAAACTCTATGAACTTTGATAAATGACAATAGTTATAGACAGGCCTCAGGCCTTTTGTTCATAGGGTCCCTATGAGTTATGCTCGATTTGACGGCACTCAACAACAACAACAACATTGTTCATTTAGGGAGCTGTGACCTATAAAGTGAATAGGAATGCCAAAGAGGAATTTCTTTTTCAGAACAACCAACCATACAAGACCAAAAGGACATCATATGTCTAAAGACAAAGCTCAGAGGGCAGGAAGGAGCTGACAAAAAGGACAAAAGGAAACAAGGCTCACAGAAAGTAGAACGTTGTTACATTGTGGAGGTTACTGTCAATGTGAAATAAGATCTGTATATATTTACCCAAACCACAGTAAAAATCTCAAATAATAAAGAGACTAGTACATTATAGTGAAAAAAACCTAGCAGAAAAATGACTAGAAAAAGGTGTCCATATTGAGTGCTTATGTGGGTACTCATTTCTTTTTTATTCTAGCATATATTTTGAAATTCATCCCCCCCCAAAAGTAATCTTTCTCATTGCCATTAAGTTGGAACCAAATGAGAGCTGACAACCTTCTAACATGTGTAGAGAGGCTGTTAATAACCCAAGAAGAGATTGCCCATCTTTCTCCCAAGCAGCAGCTGGCAGATTTGAACCTTCTACCTTTGGGTTGGCAGTGTAATTTGTTACCTACTAGGCCACCAGGGCTCTCTAAAGTATGAATAGTTAATGTATCTCAGTGGGGGAGAAAAGCAGGAAACGAATGGCTAGATAATGAACACTGCGCTAGAATAGGTGAAAGGAAGGACATTCTGAAAGAATGGATGATTAGAAACCCTGTGTATGACAATTAATAGCCTTACAAGGGGAGCTGGGGGAGGGAGGAAAGTGTGCATGAATGAACAAATAATAACAAATGGGGAAAAAGAAGATAGAAAATGATGACACTTGGTTTCCATTCTAAATCAGAAACCTAACATAATCTCAAATACGAATGCTAGATGCATATTCCTAAAATGACAAGATTTACATGAGCTAAAAATCCATATATTATGTGCCTCATTTTCTTTTTAAAAGAGTTTGTAAAGAAGAATTATACCTGAGTATAATTGTGTACCCTTCTCACTAAATTTTAAAGTCTTACAAAGCCCTATTAATTTCTCATTTTCTCTGGGTTTATTTAAATAATCTTCAAACTCACTGCCTACCTTTCCGTAAGGTCATAGTGCTAATTGAACATTCAGTACATCTTGGTTTCAAAGGAGCTCTTGCCAAAAGCTTTTCTCTAGGCTTTTAGAGGTTGCTCTAATTGCCTGCTCATAATATGCCACCAAGAAGTTACCTTTTTAACATTCCCAATGAGTTCATCTGAGCCCTCCCTCTGGATGTCTTGTGCAATTCCCCTCTGGATGGACAATGAGAAGAAAAACAAACAATTTTTGTGCTCTATTTAAGCCAAATCAGAGGTTGATTTAACTGGTAGTTTCTTCCAGCTCATCCTGGTAGTTTAATAAAGCCTACTTGATGATTTCTTCACTATTTTTTTCAGCAGGCTTTCAGCTCACTCCCAAATGAATGATCTGTTTTAAAGGAATCCTTTCAAAACACATTTCAGCGTTGTCTAAGGAGCTCTGGTGTCATAGTGTATAACCTGTCAGGCTGCTAACAGCAGTTCAAATCCACCAGCAGCTTTGTAGGAGAGAGAGGGCGATCTTCTCCCATAAGGAAACCTGATGGAGCGTCAATAGGAGTTGGAATCACCCACATGACCATGGCTTAAACGTGGTCTAGCATTTTGCAGACAGTGTCTCACACTAATTTCTCTGTTTCTTGGTCCTGCCCGCTCCATGTTTCTGCATATTGATGTCAGATTTAACAGCTCACTCATTAGACATTCCCCTCTGTAAAGCGAGATCTTTACTGTACATTCAGTCTCTACACATTGAATGTCTTATAGATGCTCTGAGAAGGACGCCCAGCTGGGTCTCTGTGCACATTCCAATGAGGCCATACCTGCTGCTCCAGGTAAGTCCCAAGTGCCTACCAGTTTGGGAAACAAAGATCTAAAGAATCTTAGTTTCTGCTGTTGTCTCTCATAACCTTTAGAACTGATGAATCCTTCTCTTAGACTAACTTTATAGAAATAATACTAGGTAGCTTACCATATGCTGTTTGTGTATGTGTGAATAAATGTTCAGATATATAAGGAGCTCTGGTAGCCTCAAGATAAAGAGTTATGTTATTGTATTGTTGTTAAGTGACGTAGAATTGTAGAAGACCAGGAGCAACCCTGTGAATGAAAGTCTTGAACACAAAACTTTCATCTTTTCTCCAAGTTCATAGAGTTTCCAGAGGCAAGCTTTTTTTTTGTTTTTTGTTTTTTGTTTTTTTTTGGAAGTGGATGCCACTCCTGCTTCCAAGCCTGTTTTATTTGGAAGATTCACAAAAAGCAGGCCCCAGGGCTGCAAGCCCAACGGTCCAAAAGCCTTTTTAAATACAAAGTCAAATCCAATCAGCTCACACCCTATTGTGAACAACAGCCAGATCCTAGTCTCAAATCAGAAAACACACCTTAGCAGAATCCAGCTATAGGTAAATAGATTTACTTTAAGTTTATTTATATACCAATTTTCCCTCTCCCCTCCTCCATTTAGTTGCAATCAGCTCTTTGAACAGTTGTTTATTTACTCATGGTTAGAAGACATAAGCTTCAGCATCTTAAGCCTGTGACTAGTCAGAATTGTGAGTGCGGTTGTTAGCAGAGTGATAGATTCCTTCTCAGATCCCTGTAACTGTCTTCTAAGAAAGTGATGCCTGCGCATCCTCAGAAAGTGTAAAATACGACATCTCCAAGAGGAAACTTCCATGTTCCCACCCTTAATACCAGCAGGAGCCGGAAACTTTGTGATGGCCCTTGTCTAGTGTCTCTTCGCTCTTCCTAGGGGAAGGACTCCATGCCAGCTATGTCATCGGTGGACTCCTCAGTGTCCTGCTGATTCTGTTGGTGATTGCGGCATTAATGCTGTACAGGTAACCTCGCCTCCTCTGCAGCGACCACATGCTCAGTGCTTCCATTACCAGGTTCGGGATCCTCCAGAAGCTCCACAGTTCACTGATTTGACTCCTGAGCAGCCTCGTTCCATAATTCGGTGTCCAATCAGAGTAAGAGAGGAAAAAGACCAAAACATGAGTACTGACTTTTCTTCCCCAGTCACTGCCTTTCATATCTCATCAAATGACCACTAAAACTCTTGGCATTTTCTTTATAGACTAGGATGGCAAGGGCATAGAGGACACTACTCAGGGTCAAGCTACAGAGGCAAGGCTCAGGCTAACTGCAGCATCTTTGTTTTGTTATTTTTTTTAAAAAGATTTTTTTATTATTATTATTTTTGTGTAAGTGTACCATCAAATCAGATCTGACTGGTACAGGAGGAGATTGTCCCTCCTTCCCCAGCAGAGCATCTGGTGGATTCGAACCGTGCGCCTCTGAGATTGTAGTTGCAGCTCCTTACCACTAGGCCACCAGAGCTCCCCTTTGTTTTGTTATTTTGGGAGATTTTTTTTTCATTACCTTGCTTTGCCTCTAACCATTGTAATTAGAAATTCTCTTCTCTACCATTTACTACAATATTGGATGATATATCATTCGTTGGTAGGCGTCCCCTCCTGGGACGATAAAATGTCTCATTTTGAATTTAGAACTTTCTTTTTATGTCGCTTCATTTTCCCCTAAATGCTTTAAAAACAACTCTCAGCAAAACATCTCTGTTTTACTGCTGCTACTACTGATAATATTGATAGTAGCTATCATCTAATGCATATGTAACAATGCCACAACTACCTTGTAATACAGGTATCATATTTCATCACTTTACAGATGAGGATCTAAGAGAAAGTTTCAGTAATGTCCACCAAGATTCTAGCTAATACCTAACAGAAATTAGACCGAAATATAGGTCTGTCTTAACTCCAAAGCTTAGGACATTATCTACTACTGCATAATAAATTACTCCCAAATACAGCTGCTTACAACTGCAAATATTGATGATCTCACAGTCTCTGTGGGTCAGGAACCTGGTTGCAACTTAACTCAGTGTCTCTTCCTCAAGTTCACTCATGGGGCTGTAATCCTTGTGCCAGCTGGAGTCACAGTCTCATCTCGAGGCTTGACCAGGGAAGGATCCCCTTCCAAGGTCATGTATGTCATTGTGGGTGGGATACAGTTCTCATCAGTTCTTGCACTGAGAGTCTCAGTTTCTTGCTGTGGATATAGGTCTCCATTCTCAGTTCCATGCCCTGTGGGCTTGTCCGTAAGATGAAAAGCTTACAGCATAGTGGCTTGATCCTTCCATAGCAGTCTGTTTCAAAAACTGACTTCTTAATCACCTTTCTTCTTAAAGGCACAAAAAAGCAAAGTTCACTGACCCTGGAATTGGAAACCTGACCTACAGTAACCCATCCTACCGAACGTCCACTCAAGAAGTGAAAATTGAAACCGTCCCCAAGCCAGCCATGTACAATCAACTGTGCTATAAGAAAGAGGTAAGAATTGAAATTTATAATCAAAAGCTCTTTTCAGAGGGATGGAAGAATTAGGCTCCAGCTACCTGAATGGGTCTGTCACGTTATCAGGCCATCATTTTGAAAGTCACTGTGAACCAAAGAATGTGTGTTTCTGGAAAAGTCTAGATTCTGTTAGGAGCTAGAGGGACACTAGTGAGAGCAAGGTTAGAAAATAGATCCCAGGTGGAGCTCTGGTGGCCTAGTGGCAAGAAGCTGCACTGTGATCCAAAAGGCACATGGTTTGGATCCACCAGATGCTCCGCTGGAGAAAGAGGGGCCTTCTGTACCAGTCAGATCCAATTTGACAGTACACACACACACACAAATAATAAAATAAAAAATAGATTAAAAAAAAAATAGATCCCAGGTTTAAATCCAAAAGCATTAGAGTGTTCAGCTCTCTCCTAGAACTTACTTATTTTGCCAGATTCAAGGGGTCTTTTCTCTCCTGAGCTTGTCATTGAATGAAAATGAGGGCTGGTGTCCCATTGAAACAAGGGTGCTATTTAAGACAGCCCCCCAAAACTCCAGAGCTGCTGCACTCCCCTTTCTAATCTCCAGTCCAAGCTAGTTGTCCTGTGAACATTCCCAACTGGGAAGGTCTAGTTTTTCTCCATCCTTCCTCTCATCCCAGAGTCTTAAGGAATTTCCTCTAAAATTCTAAAAAGTTTTTCATATTTTCTTTATCTGTTTAAACTCATTTGCCACTTCAGTGTTTGGACAGTCATGGTGCTAAAAATTTAGGCCTAGCAAATAATACCGTTTTCACAAGGGTATCTATGTGTAGCCTGGGACTTCATTTCGTCCTAGTCTGATGTGACCTTGGGGGTGTTTCTTTGTTGTTTTCTTCCTCAAAATCCTGTAACCTTGCAGCAGCAGCTGTCTCTCTGGAGACCCTAATCAGTCTAATCTTTTGACCTGGCTTACACAGTCAAAATTTAGAGGGCTCTCATGCACAGTAAATGCACTTAACTTGATAATCATGTGTTTTGTGGATCCATGAATTATCCTGTTAAAAAAAACTTCCACTACTAGTGAAAACAGAACCTACAGGGATATCTTGCAAGTTTAGGGGAGGTAGACCCCCCCCCAGCTAATATCCTTTGGAGATTCTTGATTTCCTGCAGTATCTGATCCCCCTCCCCCCAGAAGAGAACCTCAGTGAGGTTAGATTAGAAATGAACATCGTGTGACCTCTTTCTTCTGTTTTATGCTTCTTCCTCAGCAGCTATTTCACCCCTCTGATAGTCTTTCACCTTTTCTCTTCTGATTTCCTCTTGATTTCAGGTACCTGTTTCTGTGTGCTTGTTGAGGGAGTGGTGTCCCCCAAATTACTTGTGCCAAGTCCCCCTTCTCTCTCTAACATACTCTGTGATGAAGACTCTGAGTGACCTGCACCTAATCTTATACTAATTTCAGCTTGGAGAGTGTGTTGAATGAATGAACTGTGTGTGTAGGGGTTTGTGTTCCTGTATGCTATCGCTGTATGATTAAAGGAGCTATCACTCCCAGGTGTTAGGGATCATATTTGGCATAGACTTGTGTAATCATGAAAGCACCAAGCACAATACCTTCCTTATAATATAGGAGCTCAATAATTATCTGTGGGGTTAAATTGTTATTACAAAAATAGAGCTGTAGTCTCAGGGTCCTTGGCAGGAACACTATCCCAGGGACAGGATCCAAGCAATGGCCCACTTTCTCCTGGCAATCAGAGCATGTTGGTTGATATTCCCCAGAAATCAGAAATAAGGCTATCCTTTGAGGAATCCTTAAAGGGAGAAGCCTATAAAACTGAAGGCTGTCCTTGGAACAATCCCAGGCTCTTTGGAAATGGCCCACAGCTCAGGGAGCAGAACCAGAGGAAGCTAGTAGCTGTTGATTTGGTTCCAACACAAGGCGATCCCCCCGTGTACCAGAGTAGAGCTCTATACTCCATAGGTTTTAATAGCTGATTTCTGAGAAGCAGATTGCTGGCTTTTCTCCCAAGGCACCTCTCACTAAACACCAACATTCAATCTTTTAATCATTTGCACCATCCAAGCATTCCAGAGCCGGAAGAACCTGCCTGCTCAAAAATGGGTTACAGGGACCCACTGGATCAATACTTAGAACTCTTTCTAAGTTCCTCCTGCATTTCTTCCTAAATTTTCTTTATGAATACCCAAAAGAAGAGTTAATTAGGGACAAAATAGTATCTATAGTAGTTTAAAATCCTGCATACACATTTAATTGCTTTTGTCAGTTGCTTTTGATCATTCAAGTCAGCATGGTGTTCATTAATAAGCAACTGTAACAATGTAACAATGTCTAACATGTTTTAGTGCATCCTGTGTGTCAAGTACTGCAATAATTGCATTCTGTGTCACTTCCTTTAATCCTCAACAGTGACTGCTTGTGAGGTGTGGTTAATATTATTCTCCCCCACATCGTAGATGAGAGACTGGGTTTTAGAGATGTCAAGTAATTTACTCAAGGTGACATAGCTGGTGAGTGACTGGAACAGGATTGGAAGCCGTGGTGGTTTCCCTACAGTATGTATCATTACCTGTAGGATAATGATCATCATCATAGCTGCTCCTCCTCTTACAGGCGAGGCCTCACATATTCGCTCTGATCAAATCCCCCATTTATTTATGGGATCTTCGTGCTTCTCACATCCATTTCTACTGCATCCACTTCCTTTTCCTTATGATCCTTTGTTGACAGCCAGCTAACTGACCGTGTCTCCTCATTGTCCGCCCTAGGCTGGGCCTGACCACAACTACACCAAGGAGAAGATCAAGATTGTGGAGGGAATCTGCCTTCTCTCTGGGGATGAAGCCGAGTGGGATGACCTCAAACAACTGCGCAGCTCGAGGGGGGGCCTCCTGCGTGATCACGTGTGCATGAAGACGGACACGGTGTCCATCCAGGCCAGCTCTGGCTCCTTGGACGACACGGAGACAGAGCAGCTGCTGCAGGAAGAGCAATCGGAGTGTAGCAGCGTCCATACTGCGGCTACTCCAGAAAGACGGGGCTCTCTGCCAGACACGGGCTGGAAACACGAACGCAAGCTCTCCTCCGAGAGCCAGGTCTAAAGGCTCGTGGTCCTCCCCTCCCTGCCTGTTCCTGCTCCTGTATGGACTTCCAGTCCCTGTGCTTGCTTGTACAGCAGGCTTTCTCCCCGTGTGCTCAGCCGCCTCCTCCTCTCACCCCACAGCTGCTCCCAAGCCCTCCCTGGGAGCTGTTCCCACGCGGCCCTATCTATCTGGGCACGAGAAGAAAGGATGGCAGATCTGAGAACTTAGGCCTGGATGTCACCATCAGCCTTACCTCTTGTACCTAGTCCCGAGCCCCCTGAAACTGGGCACAGCAACGCGACTTCTGTCAGGGCAGAGGTCCACTTCACCCTGCATCTTCAGTGTCAGCCCCACAACAAGCGATGATGCCAGTTTGGACCCTTCCCCATCAGAAGTGACATGACTGTTTCCCTGAGGACTTGCTCCCCGGGGGTTGAGACAGGGGCTCTTGGGTAAAGAGATGCTTAGACAGAGGCGGAGAGAAGAAGGGTCAGCCCAGCTGGTATGGGCATCTGGGGAAACTCCGGCCTCCAGGATGGTAACATTAGGAAGTTTGGGAGGTAATTGGGCCTGAGTGTCCGCTGCTGGCGGTGGATGGTATTTTCACCCTCAGAGTCATTATCTTTTTTTAGCTGCAGAGATGCCCGTGAGATCTGGGCATGGCTCTGGCTGCTCTTCCGCCTGCTACAGTGTCTGGAGCCTTCCTACCCTGTCGCATGACTAAGATGATTCCCTCCTGGTACCACCACTGACCAATACCTTTCCCAAGATCTTTACTCTAAGTAGCCACTGTGGGCCAGTGGTTTCAGTGAATGCTGCAACCCTGGGTGACACTTTGTCCCTGCTGGTTTGTTTAAGCAGCTCTGCTAGACGAAACCTAGACTACCACCAGAACATTAATATTCTCTCCCTCTCTCTCTCTCTTTCTCTTACTCGCTGGGTGTCTCAAGAAAGAGAACTTGAAACAGCATTTCAAAGAAGATCCAGGGGTTTCCATAAATGGTCAGAAAGAGCAATTGGGTTAGAGTCTTATGGTGCCCAGAGCCTAAAGGGAAGGTTGAACCCCCTCTGGTCCTTTTCAAGTGCTCAGGAATTGAAGGTCGGGGACGGAGAGCCTGGGGCTAAGATCTGGTGAAGATCCCATTCCATTCACCAAGGACATGTGTCTCAGCTCCTGTCAAAGAAGTTGAGACCTTTTCTATCTGGAAATTTCTACCTAGCTCTTCTCGTTATTGCCTTTTTTTCTGACCTAGCCTGTGATTCCAGTAATCTCCAAAGCCCTGTGCTAAGGAGGGCTGGAGAGAGATGCAAAGGAGTGGGCAAAAGAGTAGAAAGGTAGAGGGAATGACTGATGAAGCGCCTCAGCCCAGGCACAGGCCTAGACCTCCTCCACCCAGGAAGGAGAGGTGGCAGGGCTGAGAATGAAGGAGAAGGCTTCTAGAACGGCCTCTGAACTTGAAGCCTCTCCCTCATGGTTATTGGTGTTAGGAAAACAGCTGCCAAGTGTTAGGGGTGAAAAAAGAGGACAAGATCAAGCCTTTTCTGTTCAGGTAAACATAGTTGCTACACCCTTTCCCTTGCCCCAGTAGCCAGCCCCAGTTTGGGCCTACTCATTACAGCTAGGCCAAGGTGGCATTTCCAGAGCACCCAGGGGCGGGGGGGAGGTAAGGTACCACTTCCGGGAGGAAAAGGCAACATTTCACACTAGAGGAGCCTTGTGGGGTTTGAGACTCCTGGTTGGGAAAGAGAAAGAAAAGCGGCATTTTCTTGACTGGAATTGGGAAGGATCTTATTGCACTTGGGCTGTTCAGAATGTAGAAAGGACATATTTGAGGATTTATCTATTTGAGCACTGATTTACTGTGTAAAAAGCAAAATCTCTCTGTCCTAAGCTAATGGAAGTGATTCTCCCGCACTCATGTGTAATGGTTTTAACGTTACTCACTGGAGAGATTGGACTTTCTGGAGTTATTTAACCACTATGTTCAGTATTTTAGGACTTTATGATTATTTAATATAAATTTAGCTTTACTTAATCACTTTGCTTGGCTTGGAGTCATGACTTATCTGCACCTGACAGACTTATCTGCCTGGTAGACCTCTGCCCTGGAAATCTGCTTGCAGACAACACCTCTGAGCCCTGTGGGGTCATGAGGACAACAAAGAGTAATTAAAGGTGGAATGTTCCTGACTGAACCTTCAACTTTTCTTGAGACAAGTCGAGACCAAAATTCACCATGAAGTCCTAATTCCCTGTAGAGGGAGGGGGGAGTGACAGCTTTTTTTGAGTGCAGGCACTGCTTAAGGGTCTATCCAGACTCGATAGGAAAAGTATCATGGTCATTAGTGATGATACCTCAGTCCCCAGTCCTGTCATATGTGCTGTGTATCTTCTATCAATATTCTACATCTGTGAAGGCTTGTGTCGCACATTATAATGATGATCACTGGCAAAGCTGTCTACTGTAACCAGAAAAGCCCTGGAATGGCGACAAGGAGAGCTAATTTCAGCTCCACTTCTGCCACTAATTCCATGTGATCCCAGCCAAGTTTCATAGATACTCTGCAAATAGATCAAATGAGTACTAAGATTTCTTTCCTTTTAAAAAGCAGTTTTATTTTCTCTTACCCATCACACCTCAATGCTAGAATAAGCAGCTGATAATCCCTTTTCAGGTTTTCTGGAGATAACACATCTCCAAGAAGATTGAAAAACATGTTCGTTTTAATGCCAGAGTAGACTTTGGTGTCAACACTCAATAGTTAATTGACTAAATTACACACCGTTTGTAGAATAATTCCCTCATTCATTCATTCCAAGCATGAACAAGAAAGACATAATCACACAGAGCTCAGAACCCAGCAATACCCACACACAAAAGAGAAAACTGAAGCAAGGAAGACGGAAGCCTCTTACATTTAAGTGGTGAGAGACCTGGATATGAGCTACCGCTTATAATTCTTCAACCTTTGATGAAGGGGAGTAGATGTGATAAGACAAAAATGAGTGAAATACATCAAGAACAACCATGACCCCTCATCCCATGACTTGTTTTTTCACATTTACAACAGATAAAGGAAAGTTGACACCTCACAACAAAGAGAAGTCATTTTAAGCAGCGAAATCCAGAATGGACCAGGTCACAAGGTTATGGGCCAAAATGTGAACAGTGGCCATTAGACCTGGGAACTTTGTACATGGGAGTTGGAGGTGGGGGACATAAATGCACCAAACACAGCATTTGCTTGGAGAAGGGAAGATGTTTTTGGGAGAACAAAGTTTAACTGTTTTGTGGCCGCATCTGTGGCCCTTGAACACTATGCAGGCCTCAGAAGCCCTGCTGACCTGTGACTGTCTGGTAACTTTAGCAGAGGATGAAGAGAAAGGGCTGGGGCTCACGGTCCAGGTCTTGTCAGGAATTCCGCCACCTGGAATAACAGCGGCCGGGACAGGGATTCTGTTTTCAGGCTTGGAAGATGCCCTGCCTCTCAGTTTCCTGATGAGTCACGTGAAGAGGTTGTAACTGGATGATTACTAGCGCCACTGCCAGCCTGAAATCTGTGCTGCTTCTGGTGGCTCTCGGGGATGACACAAGAGTTGAGACATCCTTGTCCAGGTCTCTGGATGTACAACCTGAAATAGAAAAGGAGAAGAGTAAAATTAGAACATTTTTGCGTATCATTTTGCAAACTGTGTTAAAAATTTAGTCACTGCCCTTCTCTCTACTTTGTATGAAGTAAGTGAAAAAAGTCACTGCTGTCGAGTCAGCACTGACTCCAAGCTGACCCTCCAGGGAATTTTCAGAGGCTGTGAATTGCATGAGAGGTTACTGTCCATCTTTCTCCCTCAGAGAAACCGGTGGATTCAAACCTTCTGCCTTTGGCTCAACAGTGCGACTCCTTACCCACACAGCTATGAAACCCAACACTGAACAATCTTTGTGGCCCACTCCCAAGAAGATTTCCTAGGCAAGAACATTGCAGCTTTTATTAATTCTGGTCCTGAAGAAAACAGTCCAGGCTACTTAGGAACTTAGAAAGCACATGTAGAACTTAGGGTATGTAAACTTCTAAGGGGGATGGCCTGATATTTAAGAGTATGAAATAGACTTTCTTCCCTGATGTCCTTTGTAGACATAAGAGAAATGTGGCTAAGAAAGTCTTTTTGTTATAGGTTCACATGACTCAAATGGCCCTGGGGGGCTGGGAGCACTGGTGGCCTAGTGTTAAGGAGCTGTGCTGCCAACCTAAAGTACACAGTTAAATCCACCAGTTGCTCCATGGGAGAAAGATGGACAATCTCTTTTGAAAATCCAACTGAAGGGTCAGTTATAAAGCCATTCTGAATTGATGGCACTTAACAGCGTATGTTTTCATCATGTGTTTGCATAACTGAAATGACCCAACTCCTAGGATATAGGTTTCATGCAATCTGAATTCGTTTAGAATAATACCTCTCTTGCCCATTCATTTTTCCCTCCAGATCATTCCCATTAATTAATTGACAGAGACTACTAGAGTTCAGCACAGGGGACAGTCTCATGTCCAGCAAAGGAGCCAGTGTACAATCTTTGACTCTTATCTTGTTAGCGCAGAGCCAGACAACCTAATTAAAGGTCTGAGCTGAAGCTAGCCCCAAGCTATCCAGTCTACTTATTTCATTTTACAGTGGCTATAAGGAGCCAAGAACTCTCACTTATCCTGTGCTCCTTAGTGGTTTTCCTTTCAGCCTGCTAGCAAGGTCCCTATCTCTCCCTTGCACTGCCTTCTATGCCTTCCAGCCCATTTTGGTGGAGCTGACGTAACTGTGGTCAAAGTTCTTGGAGAGCCTGCATTCCTGGGGCTATGGATTGAAGGGGAAACTGTGAAGATGTATCATTCAGCACCTATTACATGTAACTGAGTATAAGTCAGACTATATCTTGACGTTTTGGAGGCCAGTTGAGACACTAAAACCTACAGCCACTTGAAATCTGTATTACTATCAGCACAGCTATCTTTGGCACAATTCAGGAGAC